TGCCTCTCTGAGACCAAGATGCTCACCCAGTATTCCTTGGCAGTGTCCCAAAACGTCATGCAAAGGTGAGGATTTTGATCTCTTAAAATACTGCCTGCGACTCAGATAGTTTTATAGCCAACATAGGCCAGAAAGTACAAAGAGAAACAAAGGCAAACATGAAACACAGACAAAAGAGTAATCATGCTTGTGGAAGCTGGACTAAACCCTGCCTGATACCTGTCAGCCCACAGTTCCTGCTTTTTTTTTGCCAGCAGTTGCTGACAGTTTTTTCATGTTACCTACTATTGGAATGGTCCACTCCTGGGCTGCTTTGCATTATATTCATAAACTGGAATAGGAACTTACAGCACTTCTTTGCTTTATTCTTTTCTAAGTCCTTTTCCTCATAAGAAGAGAGGAGTAGCACTTTTGGTGTGATATTGGTGAAACTGCATAGCTTGACTGAGGAATTGTGGCACTTGATTGCACATTAATCTGGTCTGACTTCCTTGAATATTCCTATTAAAGCAGAGGTAGTATTAATAGTGCTTTTTGTAATTTTGGTCCATGTGTATTGCCTTGGTGCTTTAACTCATCAGTCTGTGAGCTTTCTTTTTGCCTTGTGTTTTTAAAGGCAGAAAAATAACACTTAATTATTCATGTTCAGAGACCGGTCAGCCTGGGATGTGACTGAGGGTGCTGTGTTCCCGTGGCCCTGTCAGACAGAGGTGTGTACACAGGAGTCACTTGGAAGGATGTTGCAGAAAGCTCATCCAGGGAAGGTTTTTGCTCTTCAGACGCCAGTGCCTGCCCATGAAGAGTAAAGCAATCCATGTCTGTGGATGGCAGCAGTCACCTGACTCATGGGGAGCCAGGCTGAGTGGGAGCAACAAACCCCTGCTGCTCCACTTCCCACCAAAATAAAGCTGAGCATGAAACAGAGCTGAGACGTGTGTTTGGGTACTTGGAACAGGAGGGGGAAGCTAGAGGGGCATTTTCCACAATGTAGGAGGCAAGGCTCTGCTGTGCAGTGTTTGTCTTCATTGTAAGATGTTAAAGAATTTCCAGAATGAAGTTATGTAAGACAGACTGGACTTTCTGCTGTGAATTCTGGAGGTCACCGATTTCAGGCTTAAAAACTCTAAACTGTGTAGGTTTTCTCTGTTTCTCTGCAGAAACCCCAAGTTCTTTCAAAATATGTGTTCACTCTGTTGTTGATAAGTCACAGGTAATAACCAACAATGGTTACATCCTGCATGGGAAGTATTTCCTGTCAGAATGGGCCTGGGCTTGGTGAGTGACTGAGATGCCATGTTCTTCTGCACATGGTGATTCTTTGCTTTAACTGTGACAGCTTTTCCTTTTGTCTCACCGTGTTCTCCCTCTTACCATGCCACCAGGAAGGGAAGGATACTTTCATAGAGGAATGTGTTGTCAGCAGCAAATAATAATTTTGCACCAAGAAGATGCTGTAGGGCTTTTCTACATAGGAGTTATTGTGGAGAAAAAACAATGTGAATTTAAAGCCAAATCATCCTTTGGAAATTACTTGGAGCAGATGACATCATCAGATTTTCAAAAATTAGGTTGCCCTCCAGCTTTTCAGCTGCTTGTCATGGGTTCAGAAGAAATTACTCTAATCCTGAACTGTAATCATCTCTTTATCAAAAGCTTCTACTAGAGCAAGGTCATTCATTGTTCTTCTTAATTTCTGTCTTTCCTCAGGGTGCAATTTTAATGTTTCTGTATTCAAAAGGTCAGAAGTTACTGTCTTACTCATTATTTTGTTCTGCAATGAGTGCTTCAGATGATACTTGTCTAGAATGACCAGGCTAGTTGGGAATTACTGATGAGATGACTAAAAAAGGTTGAAAGCTCTTCTTCCCAGAATTGAAGTCTTGCTTTTGTTTTTTCATTTGTACTTCATAATGGTAAATTATGAAGTCTAAAAGAGTTTCTTAAATTATTCTTGTGTTCATTTTCACTATACACAGATGAAACTTTAAATTCATTCTCCCCCTTCCCTGCTAGTGTTATTAGAGATTCTATGTCTTTCTTGAATGTAATTTATTACAAAAAGCAGCATCTGGAAAGCTGGTCAAAGCATGGCATTTCTATTAATATTAATTTTACGTTAATTTCAATATCTGTTAGTGAAATAGCTTTAACTGGCTAACTAAAATCCCTTCTACTTAGCAGGGAATGTGAAAGTTTACAGGCTATTAGGGCATTACCTTTTAATAAATTCCCTTACACCACAGTCTTCTAATTTAGGCAGACTATAAAATTTTAACCTGAAGAGAATATTAATAAACAGGAGAAACCTCAACTAACAGAATGCTAAGCATCTCATCATCAGTGACTGGGAGCTGGTGCCTTGTCCCTCTGTGTTTGGTATTCATCTTGATTAATATAGATCAGTGCAGGGAATTTGGTAGGGAGCTGTTAACATCCATATAGAGTCAATTAAAATGTTTTATGAACAGGGACTATACACTAAATGGCATATATTTGACTTGACTTGGGTTATAGAACAAATGAAAAATGAAGGGGTTTATTTGCCACAGTGCATGTAATGTGGCCATTTTGTACAGTAGTTATATAATATTTCTATTTGATTTGTTACTGTTTTATGTTGTTCACCAGTCTGCGCAACTGTGTTACTGTTAAGGGCAAGCATTTTGAAGTCTTAAGGGAGGAATCTTCAGATTCATTAACACAACTCTTACTTAAATGAAAACTTTATTTTGTAATTAAGTCTAGAGTTCCCTTCATCATGTCTTTAAAATCACTTCTAGAAAATGTTTCTGACCTACAGCATTGTCAATGAATTTTGAGGGGTGCTTTGTGGGCTTTGTTTTGCTTCCACAATGAAATTAATAGGGCTTACTGTACCTCTTGCCCAAAATACAAAGCAGGTGCTCGCTAGGAAAGAGAGTTTTGTGTCAGCAATGACTCGGTGAACTTGACTATAGAAAAATACTATTTGATAATATCAAAACACATCTCCATCTTAATATGGTTTGCTGATTTCACAAATCAATTGAAAGTGTTTCTAGCTTTGTGTATCCTTGGTTGCTGCACCTACTAGGATTCTAAAGGCTAATTGTTGGGGTTTTTTTTATTGAAAAAACCCTGTAGTGTTTCTCTATGTGCCTGCAATTGCTTATTTTTCTATTCAGTTTTCTGTAGCTGGTTTCACCTAGTGCAAAAATGAAAGGTGTTATGTTTTCCTTCTTGAAATCAAATACCTTGAGGATTTTGTTTCTTGATCTACTTCAAAAATGTTTATTATTTCACAAGACAAAAGCATGGATATTATCACTTAGTCCTGACACACAATTCTCTAAGTGAGTCAGAGTAGAGGGATGCACTACACATCATGACCTGTAATTCTCATTTCTCAGTAATTTCAAGCTGTTCTTGAGAGTACTGTATCCACACATCCCTAGCAACATGGCCACTCAGCTTTTTCAAACCTCTTTTCCAATGTGATCTTAGTCATTGCCCTCTTTCCCAGATGAGTTCTTTTACTTTTCATCGCTGTCGATCCAGAAGTTGTTCTTTAGCTTAAATGATAACAGTTACCTGTATTTTCCCAGATTTTTTCTGATATTTGATAACTTTAATGGAAAATGGAAAGAATTATTGTAAAAAAAATTATCTACCTCCTGCCACTAAAGTAGCAGTTTATCATGTACAATACAAAGAGGAGCTGATGGGAAAAATTGCTTTCAAGTAATAACTTGAGGCTCTGTTTTAGTTTAGTAATAATCCTCATTTAAAATCTGGATGTAAATCCAGCTTCTCAGCTGTTGTACAGATCAGAGCAGTATTATCTGGTGTTGCTTACATCAGAATTCAGAGGTACTCAGGTTGCTTTTTTTGTACCTATGGTTCTCCCACTTCTGCAAATTATTTGTGAAGCAGCCTTCCAAGAGAATGCACTTCCTGTGGGTACGTTCTTCCTGAGAACATGGGGACGAGATGCTGGGAGCAGAGCAAGGTTCAGGAGGTACCTAAGTAGGGTTTGAAGAATGGAGAGGCATGAATGAGGGTTTTTTATGGAGGAAGGGGTTGATTTGTTTTGTCAAGAACCACTGTGTTGAGTTACAGTTCCTAAGTGAGGGCTTGAGATGAAGCAGTTTTATTTGGAGAGTGTGCGGGGTTGTTACTAGCAGTGCCTTTTGTCTCTCTGAAGACTTTATGATCTATCTTGTCTTGCAGAATTTGTGCCACTTCTATGTTCAGACAGGTCTCAAACCACAGATTTTTAAACTGTAGTTGTAATGTGACCTATGAGTCTGTTTCTGAGCAAGCAGCAGCAACCCAGCACTGGACCAGGCTTGAAATGTCTGGGTTTCCAGCATTTTTATTTATTCTTTCCTGAACAAAAGCAGCTGTTGATCACTATTTAGACCTTGTGTGTATCTGTAAATATGTAGGTGTATGAAAAATGCATGTGTGTGTTCACATGGTTGTCTCTGTCTCTTCTGAGAGTAAAACAGGTCCACAGAAGGTAGAAAGCCAGCAAAGAATTAATTTTGTCAGAACTGGGAAAGATAATATATGAAACCATGGGGAGACGATCTAGTCCAAATACCAAATTGGAGGAGTGAACAACAAAGGTGGAAGGAGAGGATATAAGAGTAATATACTTTCATTAAATAATAGGGATTTTTCTCTTCCTTAGTATGTTTAATAACTCTTCCTTCATCCATGATCTGTACCTGCTATGGGTGGGAGTTTGGGTTATCTGACTGAGGGAAAGGTGTCAGGAGGGGAACTTCCTTTCTCTCAAATATCCAGCACATAAGAAGTGCAAGAGCCACTTTGTTAAAGCTGTGGTTCTTCAATGTGTGCTGTTTGGTAGACAGGGGCTATACATGACATCTCATAGTGGTAGAAGGCAAATATAAAAATAGGAATATTTTTAATACTGATTTGATCTGGCTGTGGAGGAGATATTGCTTGAATTCAAGCTGAGCATCTCTGATGTTTTTTGTCTTTCATGCCAGCTTTATGTGGCCACTGAAGCCATCCTCATCGCATTGGTGGGTGCAACTCCTCCCTACCACTGGGATCTCCAAGGGCTCTCAGCTAATCAGAGCCATGGCAACCATTCGGAGAGCGAGCAGAGAGCTTTTGGGGAATGGCTTCTGACTGCCAATGGCAGTGAGGTGCGTAAGCACGTACACTTTGGCAACAGCTTCACATCCATAGTCTCTGAGGTAAGTCTGAAATGTGCTCTGCAGCCTTGTGTGTGACTAGTAAACCTTACTGAGGTGGTTTGGGGGTCTCCTTGTATTGCTTTTTTCTTGCATAACTAATGCATGTTTTGAGTAGCAAATGAAACATGCCACCTTCAGTTAGAGCACAGGTAATGTGCTCATGTCTTCACTGGCAACAAAAGCTAGCTTTATATTGCTATGCAGATCTTGACCAATGTTCTTCTCTAAAACTTCCCACCTTTTCTGTGTGAAGGTTACATATTGCATCCTGCAGCCTGGTTCCACATTTGAGCTGGAATCACAACATTCATTTTACTAATTTGCTGAAAACCTCATTTATGGACCCTGAGCTCTTTCTGGACATCTCCTTGCTGAGCTCTAGTGCATGTAGTGCATCCGTCATGAAGTTAGAAGGCACTGGAGGAACTGGAGAGGAAGTGGCTCCTGCACTCCTTGCAACTCCAGATACAAGATCTTGGTCACTGGGGAGTCAGGTGGACAAAGCAGCTCCCTCACTTCCTATTCCAAAACAAGCTTTGGCTTTGTTGGCATGGCCTCTGTATTTTTCAAGTGATTTCTTTCATAGTCTAGCCACAGTCCCTACAGGAATGATTCCAGACTTTGCATTGATGTGTGCAACACCTGCCCTTCCTGGGTCTGTCAGTATCTGTTAATGTCAAATGGTTCTTTACAAAAGCCCTGAGTGCATTGGTTACAAGGCCTGAATGCAGAGCTGAGCTGTGGAGTCAAATGTAGTACCACTTGATAGTTTGTGGCTATTGTCCAAAGGTATTAATGCTATCCACATTACTCCTGTAAAGCAGTTTATTGGTTAGGAGCATATTAATAAAAATGACCAGCTTTGGAATAGTACCAAGCCATTGTGTACAAAAGGCATTGCTCCTTATTCTGGCAATAAAGAGGATATGAGTACTTATGATACCATTTAAATTAAAATTTTAATGGATGGTGGGTTTCTTAAGCGTTATTTAAAACTCAGTAAGGTTTTGAATTTTCTCTGTGGTTTTTCTTCTCTTTCTATTTTTTTTTTTGACTTGCCAAAGTATCTTTTATTCTCTTAAACTTGACAAGTCAGACATGCTTGTAGAACCTAGCATATGACATAGATTTTATACAGATCTTTATGCATTTTGGTTGCATAAATAAGAAATGCAGGTAAAGAACAAAGCCTGCTTGAGCAATTAAAAAACCCTAAAAAAACTCCCCAAGCAAAACAAATAAAAAACCCCAACCTCAAGGCAACTTGTATAGATTCTGCTTTCTAATTCTTTAGCATATGTTTCAGTAGAGTCCCCTTTGAATAAAATCTTATTATCTCTTCTCTTTCCCTCTAATAAAATACAGTTTTTATGATTTTGTTAGCTGAATATTTGGTATATTTGGAGGCTATGTGCTAAGCATTTTGAGAGAGAACATACATATCTGGAGAATATTTCACCACTAATTCATTATTAATCTAATTTCATGATTGGTTGTAAAGAAGTTGTTTCCTACATTTAAAGAGGGTGTGTCAATACTTAACCTGGTGGCATCACTGATAACATAACCATTACAAATTTACACTGAAAAATATTCTGATGTAAAAAGCTTGATTACTGAATAAGCATATATGTAGCATGTTTTTATGTAGAGGAGAAAAGCCTTGAGCTCTCTAAAGAGCTTGGACGTTGAGATAAATTTTGAGAACAAATTTTGCTTTGCAGCCAAATCATCCCTTAATCCCTGAATGATTCAGAAAGCATCTCATGTCAACAATTTTAATGTTGGCAGCTTTTTAAATTTTTATACGAAAAGTTAGGGCATTATTCTTTTAGCTGTTATAAAACAAACTGACCATGTTATTTCAGGGAAAAATTAATCTCATATGCAATTATTTTACAAATGTATTTTTCTGGGAATTGTTTTTAAAGTCTCCAGAAGCTTCAAAAGCTGATTTATGGTCATGTGGTTGGTTTCAGTTGAATTTTGTCAGTCTTGGCACTTTATGGGCGCATTTCCTACTATTATCAGTAACCACCTCCCTGTTAAAGTAACAATTCAAAATGAAGCAGATATAGAAAGTAAGCAAGTTATTTTCTTGGAGCTTATGAATGATGTTTTGTTAGCATCCTAATCTTTGTGAGGTTTAATTGCATGGCTCTGCTCTCATGATGAGGTAGTTTATAACTGAGCTGTGAAATAATAAAAGCTTTGCTAGAAAGGATATTTAATGAGATTTTGGTAGAGAAAGAGAAGATTATGAGGAGAAGATTAGAGAGCTATTGCAGGGATAATGACATAATCACCAACTTACCAGCAGAGGAAGAAGAGTTGGTTGTCACTAAAAGGAAACATTATCTCTAGGTACAAGAGGAATAGAAAAATAAAAGAACAGAAGATGTGGAGTGTTTAGAATACAATAGGAAATGTCTTTTGAGCATTGAGAGCGTGGCATATTTTCATTCTGCACTTCTGTGGGGCAAGGAATTTTGTCAGGTTCAACTTGAGACATTAAGTCTGTAAGAACCAAACATTTCAAGATCAGCTTTGTATTTGGAATTGAAAAGAACTGGAAATGATGAAATACACTGTAAAGAAGGCGAGTGTGTGCAGAAAACCTGACTAACCTGTCTAATGCTACCAAAGTATTGCTCAGGGATAAGGCGATTCAAAAAGAGGAGCATGTGCAGGAGTATCTTCAGACAGAAATCTATAAAACAACTATTTTTTCCCAATGTGTGTTCTACATATTGCAGTGACATGTCAGTAGGTAGAACTGAGTCTACTTAGGTTAATAGCTTTATGTGAAAGAAGGCAGAAAAAGGGAAAGTGGGAGAAAGCTGCAAAAATTAGAGTATTGTGGGAAATACGTTCTTGATTTCAGAATCAAAGACTGCATTTGATTTGAGAGAACTGCCATTGTTAGTATCCTGCAGTGAGTTCAGGAGATAGCAGTGGGGACCCATGATTTACTGAATATGATGCTTAGGAGATCTTATATAAAGATTTCGATCTTTAAAATATGTAATATCCCCTCCAGCTATTAGGTGCTGGTGACCTCTTTGGATTCTGATTAATTTGCCTTTTTGCTGGTTTATTGTTTCTGTTTTTTTCTTCCCCCTCCATCCAGTGGTTTTTAATTGGCAATGCATCGTACAAAGTCAGTGCTGCCAGTTCTTTCTACTTCAGTGGTGTGTTTGTTGGAGCCATCTCTTTTGGCCAGCTGTCCGATCGCTTTGGGAGGAAGAAAGTCTATCTCACAGGTAACCCCTCGACAAAATGAATGACACATAGGTGTCGTGTCCCTGAAGATCAGTGGCAACGGCCCAGTTTCTGCTGAGAGCTTGTTGTGCAGCTGTAAATCATGTGCTGTGATTTTGTTTTGGCATTCCAATACACTTGTGTGGTAGAAGTTGAGATGAGAAATTAATATTTCACTGTTCAGTCACCATTTGAATTTCTGAGAGGTGTTCTGGGTTTGTGAGTCATGCCATAAAGGCTTTCACTCGTGCAACGCTGTGCTCATGGGATCTCTGCAAGTTGCAATTAGTATTTTTAGTAGTTTTGTAACAGCATTCTTACCTGTATAACCTGTTAGGAATTTGTTGCACCTTTTATCACCTGTCTGCATGATTTAATTTTTATGTATTTATGATCCTTGTACGGTTTTGAAGCTCATAAGCTTTCTAATTGTCCCTGGATCAAACAACATTTGAAACTACATTTGTATGTATAAAGTTGTGTGTCAATGGATGAGCATGCAGAGTTAAAATAAATGTTTTATCCTTTTTGTTTTCCTTTTAAGGAACAGCATTAGTTTAAGGCACATAAAAGTGGGCCTGCTCTGCATGCAGACTCACCATTTATTGTCTCCTGGCAATGTTTCTCTTCTCTGGTTTCCATACACTGCTCTCCAAAAATGAGGAGAGATGTTTGGTCATATATTTAACCTGTGGCTTCTTTATCAGGGATAAACATAAAGCTGTCTTTAACAGGAGTCAGACAATGGTTCTGAGTGTCTTAAAAAGATTGTCTGCAATTGAATTGAATTTGAACTGAATTTAAAGGTTCAAACTGCAAACTATGTATCAAAAAAACACTCCTTCGGTGTCCTATCCTCTTTGATATTGACTCCAGGTATTTAAATTTCTTTCCAAACCTGTGGTGGTGGTGTTGACTGTGATGGCTTAGGACAGATGCCAGTGGGCATTAAGATACCAGTAAATGCTTCTGTTTCTTTAGATACCCTTCTAAAATGAAACTTTTTGCCTTATTTTCCAGGTTTTGCTCTTGACATTGTGTTTGCCATTGCAAACGGATTCTCACCCTCGTATGAATTCTTTGCCGTTTCCAGATTCTTGGTAGGGATGATGAATGGTGGGATGTCACTGGTAGCCTTTGTTCTACTGAATGAGTGTGTGGGTACAGCCTACTGGGCATTAGCAGGTAAACTGCCTTTATTGTCAAAATTCATAGGTTTCAATCTCACATGTCACTTGAGGCACACAAAGCAGTTGCAGATTTAGCTCCACTTGAGCATATCTCTGATCACAGTCTTGGAACTCTGCTTGTTTTATATCAACCTTGGACAAGCAGGGTAGATGACTTGAGGCCATTTAGATCTCTGCATCATTCAAGTTGACAAAGATCCAGCTGAAGCATCTTCCATGAATGCTACCAGCTAAATACTCATCCAAGGTTTGCCACAACTGAGCTCTATTAATCAGAATGTTGGACTCTGCTAAAAAGAGCCAAATATTCACGTGCTAAATATAAATTCTTTCCTTCCTGGCGGTTCTTAAAAAGAAATCAGAAGTGTTTTTATATCATAGGAAGATGAGAAAACTGTTGCTTATATGTTATTAAAAAAAGTTATCCCATGTAGTAATTATCCTTAGAATTTAGAAGGTACAGACACCCTTTACTAGACCTGTCCTTCAGAAATGTGTGTAACCCATACTGCTATGGCTCCAGGGCCTGACTTACAAAGCCCAAGAAGTGCTATGCTGAGACTGTTTCAAAATAGGGTGTCTTACAAATCATGGGAGCTACAAATGAACACTACATATTCCTAAAACTACCAGTTTTTCAGTGTTTTGAAGTATTTATTTTTAAGCATAGAAAGGCACATACTTATGCAGCATACATGCACATACTTAATTTGGAATTAGAAGACTTCATTGTTCACAGGGCTTTGTTGGGTGTGGAGGATGTAGAAGAGCACTTTTGGGGCTTTTTTTTGATCTTTGTAATTAGATGTAATACTTCTGCTCTGCATGAATAAAGGACAGGGTGTTCTTTGGTCAAAGAGCTGTGGTTCTGCCTAAATTGCTGAATGAATTTTTGCTAATGAAAAGTTAGTTCTTGTCTGATCCTATTTGTTGAGATCTACTAATGTTTCTTACAGAAGTGATAATGTTTTGTATTGTTTTTAATTGTATTTTAGGTTCTATTGGTGGCTTGTTCTTTGCTGTTGGAATAGCCCAGTATGCTTTATTAGGGTATTTCATTCGTTCCTGGAGGACTCTGGCTGTTGTGGTTAATCTGGAAGGAACAGTCGTCTTTCTTCTCTCTCTGTAAGTTGTTTCTCAAACCCAAGTTTCATAAAGAAAGATGTTTAAAAAAAAAAACAAAAAATCAAACCAAGTACCCAAATTACTAAGTCAAGTTACCTTTCTAGGATGGCATGAAATGGTGTAAATAAGGTATTTCTCAACTTCTACACCTCCTTCCCACCACACGCTCTGTGGTTTCTTCTAATAGTAGTGCTGCAAGATTTGAGCCTGTAAAAATCTACATTGTACTGTGTGAAGTATTACTGTATGTGGGAACAGTCTCTAGGATGGTAGGGAAGCACATCCTGTTCTTTAGCTGACTTAAAGTGGTGTGCTATGAGGCACTCTAAATCCATGTTAAAAGATACGGGAATGGTTTCATATTTACGTGATAACATGATGCTTTTCTTGTGTTTACACAGAAGGAACAGTATCACAATTGCTTGCCTGTTCAGTCTTAAAAGTGATGTGCAAAAGAAAAAATGGGCAGCTCCCTTAAGGTTTTCTAATGTGATCTTTTTGGAGATAGTAGGGGCTTTGTGCATTTCAGCACTGAAAGCTTTGATGCAGTGTGGTCCTCTTTTCATATATGCTTTCTGACATCCAGATCTCCATTACTAAAAGAGCAAAATTAGCTGCTGTTTAAACTAGAGGTCTTTTCCTTTCCAACATCTATTTCACTTCAGTAACTCTTTGAATAAAGCTTTTGCTCCTGAGAAAATCCACACACCCTTTCAAAGGAAGCATCAGAACTCAGGGGAGGGTCTTTGAGGCTGTTCATAAGGTGAAAGGCAGAGATGACACTTCAGATATTTCAAAACCTTGTGGTGATAGGGACCCTTGGGGAAAAAAAAATTAACTTTTACATTGATAGGTGCAACTTTTTTAAGGGAGTTATTCTTGTGACTTCAGAGCTGTGCTCAGAAGTCTATCTTTCCTATAAGAAAAGGAGTTTTATAATTCCAAATTTCACATTGCCTCCCTGCCACATTGCTTAAAAATTACTCAGTGTAGAAAATACTATCAGATTTTTTTATCCTGGGGAAGAAAATATGTTACTTTCTAAGCTATTTTTTTTGGTGAATACACAGAATCACGTTATTTCAAACTTAGAGGAAAAATACAATTTTTGATCCAAGGCAAAAGTCTTAAAAAGCTGCTGGCAAAAGGCTAAAGTTTAATTTAGTTCTGGAAGCCTGAAAATAATAGAAGATTTGTGTAGTAGACAATGTTTGGGTTACAGACCTGTCAAATGAACAGTGCACATGCATGACTTTTGCATAGTTTCTGCCTTCTTGTCTACAGGAGAGAATTTGGCAAAAAAACCTCAAAAATGGGAAGTGGAAGTTGGTCTTGTGGAAAATGAGAAATTGAACTAGAGGGTCTTACAAAAGCATCCTGTGTTACTTGTAGTAATGTGAGCCTCCTTAATTCTGAATTCTCCAAAGACAGGATCTGTCATACTGTAACTTATAATGTTGTTTTTTCTATGTGTGTATATATGTCTACACTCAGTGTAATTTCTTGCTATCTAAATTATGTAGGGCTTACGTTTCCCTTTCAACAGTCTTTGTTTCTGTTTCAGTAAGTAAATTTTATACCTGAAGGGTTGTTTGAAAAGTCTTTATTTTACTGAAGTGCATTTCAGCCTTATTCCTTTAGACAGGTCCATCATCATAGAGAAGAAAATCCCTAAAGGTGTCTGCGTGTGTGTGTTTCAGATTCATTCCTGAGTCCCCACGCTGGCTCTATTCCCAGGGCCGTCTGAACGAGGCAGAAGATGCCCTCTACCTCATTGCAAAGAGGAACCGCAAGCAGAAATGCACTTTTTCATTAAAACTCCCAGCAGAGAGGAGCTCCAGAGAGGCTGGCAGCTTTCTGGACCTGTTCCGATACAGGATTCTCCTGGGACGCACCTTGATCATGATGTTCACCTGGTACTGGAAATACTTTGTAGGCTCAGCTGTGATACTGTGACCTCTTTGAGAGAATATGGTGCTGGGAATTGCCTTGTCCTACAGATTGTTAGGGACACTGTACCTAAAAAGGTTTCTTTCTAGTATTTCAGTATCTATTACAGTATTTCCATAGTGCATTTCTAGCACAAAGCCATTTATACAGTCCAGTTCTGAGGTGTTTTATCTCTGCATTTCTGTCTTGTGTTTTGAGTCTCAGAATAGTTGAGGACTACCCCTTCTGTTCTGACCCACAAGGCTGCTGAGATTAGTCACAGTGTCCTCCTCTTAGGCCCAGAGCTGTCAGTATCTCTTCACATGGATTATTCCTTGTTTTGTGTAAGGAGCCCATTAGCAGGTGGGTTGCCTACCTTGTCTAATGAGTAGACATCCTAGGCAACAGTTCTTAAGAAAAAGTGCTGGCTGTTGCTGTAGTGAGGAGCAGGTGCCCATGATGCTCCCTCTAGTCACGAGCAGAAATTTAACTCCAAAAGTGTGTGGTTTTTTTTTATTTGGGAAAGATGTATCAATTAAGAATGAAACAAATGGTTTTGTCAGCATACAGCACTGAGCTGTTTTCTTGTTTCTTTTCCAAGTGCTTACTGCAGAATAAATAGTTGATCTGTTCATAAAATGAGAATTGCTGATTTACTGCAGGGTGAATTAGTGACCAGTTTCTTTACTTTCTGTAAAGACAATTCCATTGACAGGGGTTAACATGACAATAGAGTTACAAAAGAAAAGTTGAACAGAGTTGGAGAAGGAATGAATAAAACTGGACCAGGGTGTAGAAATTAAAAGAAGGTTGAAGTGTTGTTGTTTGAACTGCTTGAAAAATCTGGTTCACACACAGTTGGAAAAACTGTGGATGAAAGTGTAACCTGATAAAAGCAAAAGGGACAAAGACATTTCTGAAGTTAAATAATATCGCCATGATTGTATTTTAACTTTATACTGGTTTATGCACATTGTTCATAAGTGTAGTCTTAAGTTTTACTTAGTAGTAAGTCAGGAGTTGGGTCTTTGCTGAGACAAAATGGTTTATTTGCCTAGAAGGCAACATACGCTTACAGAGAAACATTTTAGACCTATGTGCTGAAACACTAAATATAGTTTATAGTGTATTGTGCCAGACCAGTACTTGGATTCAGCAGGCAAAGTGTCAGCTCTGATTTAACTTTTTTTTTTCTCCTGTCTTTTGCAGGTTTGTGTGCAGCTTGGTATACTATGGTCTCACCCTTAATGTGGGTGACTTAGGTGGAAGTATTTATGCCAATTTAAGTATGGAATTTATGAACCCATCCAGGATTTCCTTATAACTTTTCTCAAAGATAGGTTTTCTGTGTATCACATCTCCTAGCTTATATCTGATGCGTGGGGCTTCCCGTTTCAATGTGAAAGTGCCATTCATTTATCCCTGTTTCAAACAGCAGTTTAACTTGTTTTCCCTAATGGTGAGCCGTCCCTCTGGTTTAGGTGGGGATGATGTAGCTGGGATGAACCTGCACTGCCTCCAGGCTAACACTAGATAGCGACCTTCCCCCCGCTGCTCTGGGATCCCATCCTCGCTGCTGGGACAGAGCTATCCTGACTCCACTCTGCTGGGGCTGTCCTGTGCTCTCGTGCAGTAGCAGGACCTGTGTCAGCTACTGTGTGAACAGAGCAGATATTCAGCCTTTTCTCGAACCACGGTGCTTTGGACAGTGTCTCTCAGCTTTTGTAGAATTTCCTTCCAGTCTCTCCTCCGTGTCTCCTGAGGAGGTTTACAAATGTCACACACACAGTGGGAAGCAGCCCCAAATCCTAGAAATTGTCAGCTGCTGTGTAAAGTTGGCGCTCATTTTGTTAAGTGTGCAGCAGAAGCTTGTTTAAAAACGGTGTGAGAGGAAGCGTTGGTGGAAGATGATAGTCAGAATTCCCAACTGCAAATGAAAGAGTCAGTGTGAATTCAGAGGATTCATTACTTTGCAACCCACAAACCTAATGCAGAATGTAAGCCTTTGTTATCTTTGCATATCAGGTTTGGTCGGAAGCGAACGTTGAGTGCTTTTCTGTTCCTGGGAGGATTGGCTTGTCTTATTGTCATGTTTCTGCCTAAGAAGAGAGGTAAGTATTGTTTTGTTTCTGGAGTATGTGGTAAGAATTGGTAAAAGCAGCATCCTACAGCATAACAATTCAATGGCTGCTGGAAGATCAGGCTCATACCATATGTGAGTCTCCATTTTTAAAGCCGGAGAAGCCAACTCAATAAAAGATAAAGCAGTAATCTCCCTAAGACCTTAAGAAAACTTGATAGTAAGGTTTGGATTTGAAGTTTTGCCTTTGAATTCTGCTCTTTACTTCTGTTTACGTCAGCTGCTCCTTTTTCTGTTGTTTTTGACATAATCTAAATGAATCATATTTCTTGTGGTATCTCCAATATCAAATGATAGGTTAGTGTAAGTAGTACCCCATGCAACTTGGATGTATTGCTCCAAGTGGAAGATGAGTGTCAGAAGATCTGAAGAACTGAGTGATGGAGCAGTTTACGTCTTCCCCACACGGCTCTGTAATGTTCAAGAGTAGTGTGGTTGCGATAATAGTAATGTGGCCACATAACTTACAGCTCAGAGAACATTCTGACCAACTCCTGAATTGAGGGGACTTTATGGAATGTGAAATTAAACATCTTTTGTGTAAAGATGCACTAATGTTAATTTTCAGATTACATAGAAATTTTTCTTTTTAAAACCAGATATATAAATTCATCTTGCTCATAAGATCTGTGGATGTAATATTACCTTTCATAAAGTGAGAGAATGTTTGAAACACTTGAAAAGTGATTCAAGAAATTAAACATGTATGACAGAGTATAGAAGTTGTTCTAGATGGCAGTGGGTCCGATAGGTAAAGCTTTTTTAAAGTTTTCAGAATTATTCCAGGTGCTAGAGCATGGACATTTAGAAATATTGGTTTGTCTGGTAGCAGTCATCAAGTATTTTTTGCATATCATTCCGAACATAAGATGTGAAAAGAGACGACAGAACTGTAAGGCCCCAGGAAATAAGCTGTGTACTGAGCTGCCCAAGTCAGGCAAGGGTGAAGTGCCTTGGGAAGTGAAAGGGCTCACTGGCCAGAAGGAAGCACCTGTTCACTGGGCATGAGCTCTGATTTGCCTGCTAAAAGCAAATAAGCACTGGCTGTTCTGACAAACTAAGCTGGATGTGAAATTTGGTATGATTATTTACAGCATCTTCCTTTCAAAGTAATAATGTTAGAAGAATACTGTCATCCTATAGAAATGACAATGAATAGGACTCTCGTTAAAAAACAAAAAAAGTGCCCACTTTTGTAAAATGTATCTGTTATACTCTTCTTCAATTTTGATAGAACTAATTTAGTATTTAATTAGTAGTAGACCAAAAATACTACTGTAATTTAGATCTTTAGCTTTTCTAGATTTTAGATTCTCTAGGTTCATTTTCACACCATACTGTTGTGTGATTGAAATGATTAGAGGTGTATTGGAGTGCTCCAAAGCCTTACAAGGGTCACATCTTCTCTCACAGATACTGGAGTGTTTGCAGTGGTGAATAGTCGCTCTCTGTCTTTGCTGGGAAAACTGACAATCAGTGCTGCTTTTAACATTGTCTACATCTACACATCAGAACTTTATCCCACAGTCATCAGGTAACACAAGTAATTTTAAATCTTCATTTTTCTGTTTCTCTTACATGATCATCTTTTATTTCTCATATTTTTTCCTATTACCTGTAGTTTTTAATTTTAATCTTTCAGTTACATATAATGATTAGATACAGTTTTACCTCTGAAATTTTTTCCCTTATCACCTTCTCACTCCCTCTTCCATCAAATTTGCAGTGTTCTCTTCCAACTAGCCATTTTTTTATGTAACAGTAAAACAGACCTTTATCTGCTTGGCCTGCTTACAGCTCCCCTTCTGCCAATGAGGATAACTGTAGCACTGCCGATATTTCTTTTAATGAGTCCTTTATAAAACCAGACAACTCTTATCATCATACATGCTTAACCAGGAGCATTGAAGATGATTGGTCAATGAGCTTTGTAAAAGCAGCTTGATGCTTTGGAGGCTGTGTGTGAGCAGCAGTAAGGTTTCACTCACTAGGGGCAAAAGTACCCCCTGCTTGTGCTGACAGAGCAGATGGAAGCTTTTACCATATGGGTGCATATGATGGTCAGCCACCAGTGAAACTACACTGTGGTGTTTTTCATGAGTGGGTAAATCTGGTGATAAGTAGGACTTGAATAAATAAATTTGTCCAGAGTTTCAGACAGAGGCAAGATGCATGAACTGGAGTCACACTTGTTTTGGCTATGTGTGTATGTAAAAATTCTGAATGTAAAGGGGATTTTTGCTTCATTTTGATCACAAAAACACATCTCATTCCTGTCTTGGGAAGCTTTCACTTACATTTGACTTTTCTTTGCCAGTTAATGTGCTCAAGGTCATGACTGATGAGTCTTTTTTCTTCTCAATAACACTTTTCAGAAGATTAATTATTTTTGGTTTTCTTCATAGGAATGTTGGAATGGGTGCCTGCTCCATGTTTTCCCGTGTTGGTGGAATCATTGCGCCTTTTGTCCCCTCATTGGTTTGTCTGAACTTCTGTTACGTATATTTTTGTTTTGTGGCTCTGGTGTATCAGAGGCTTACAGAGATGGGAATGTTTGGGATAAATTTTATATATAATTTAAGATACATAAATTGCCTCTCTTAACAGTATCATGATAGGCTAAAGGCATTGTAGTAGCATCTGTGTTATTAGACAAAACCTCAGCATTATTTAATTTAGAAGGTGTTTCAGCTCTGTAGGAATTTTGGGACCTAACTACTGGACCTTAAAATACAATAATTTCAGATTGCCAGGACGGTGGTACCAAATTTTAAACCCTGCACAAGCAATAGCAAAAGACCTGTGTGGTTAAAAGAACTACTGCATCAAAATTAAGCATCTGGGCTCAATAACTTATATTTTTGAGAACAAATTCATGTTACTGTCAGTGCACTTCATTAAATATCCACGGGTTATAAATATCAGCAAAGCAGATCATCTTTCAGTAAATGAAGGTGATGTGGAGATCTGATCCAGCAGCAAGGCAAAGGAAGATTCTGAAGAAAAAACCATGGGGATGATACCATTAGGTTCCTGCACTTAGAGTGTTATGTGTATACAGATAAAAAGTGTGCCAGTTTTTCCCAGCTGTTTGCTGAGGCCCAGTGACAATTCCTTTAATGTGACAGATTTCATCTCAGGTGATTTTCCTCTCTGCCATTTGCCATTTTACATGTGAGGCAGAAAGTTAGCAAAAGGGCAGGTGAGCATAGGGAGCCTTTTAATCTGCAGAACAAAGCACTGGGCAGGTGAGAGCGTGAGCACCTCTGGGGAACAACAGGCAAAGCCAAGACTGCTGCCAGTCTACCAGGTAGATTTAACAGGCAGCTTTTATGTAGCACTTGGGGCAACCATTATATTGTGTCTGCCAGAGATTTGATACTGCATGAGACACAAATCCTGGATCATAATGTTTGAAGGGCTTCCATGAAAATGAAAGTAGCTCTGATTAAATAACAAACGAACCCTGATTTGAGAAAATAATAAATTATTTTTGTGTTTCATAATTTCTTTCAGTATTTTAATGCATTTTCAGTGTCTTTTGTCTAGAGATCTCATAATAGTAAAAATAGGACAAGTTAACTGCTGAGATAAGAGATGAAATGTTGGTCAATTATTTATTCACAGCCTGTAATTTTCCTCAATTTAGAATTGCTCTCTACAGTGTGAGTTTTTGAAACAAACAGCTAAACTCTTTCCCTCTTTTGAATAAGCCTTCTTTACTGCGAAAACAGGGACAGGCATCAGAGGAGGAGTATAAACATTGCTTGTGCTGTCACAGGTGATGCCAGGAATGCCAAAGCTCAGTTGAAGCTAAAACTAGCTAGGAGCATAAATAGGGATTCTGTCAGCTAAAGGAAATTCAATGAAAATGCCTGTTGAATGGGATGGGCATCCCATGGGTGGGTGACATGGAATAAGCTGAAATGCTTGTGCTTCAGTCTTGAGAGGCAAAGCTCGACTCCGATACTCTGCCTATCAGCGCAGCTGAGGAAGCAGAAGACCAGCAAACAGTAGGAGGAGCAATAGGTTCAAGAACACTTGGAGCTGAAAGCTTTCCATTCCATGGGACAAGCTTCCTTGAGAATGGTTGTGATAGTGAAGCAAGTGTTCATCATTGGTGATAAACCACTGTTGTAGTGAAGGATCACTGGTAGCTGTGGAAGGAAAAAGGCTAATTTGTTGTGTTTTCAGTATCAGAAAGTGGAACCCAGGTATTACAGGCTGAGTACCTCTAACTCAGTCTGTGGGAGGATTGAGACATGACCTCCCAGAGTCTGTTTATAAGCATGTGAAGGCAAAAAAAGGTAATTTGGATCAGTGAACCTGGATTTATTGAGGACAATTCTTTCTCAGCCAACTTGATTTGATACTCAGCCATTTCATCACAGAAGGTAATATGGATGAGGACAGGGAGGAGAGCAGGGAAGGCTTTTGTAAAGCTTTTGACACTATCTCACATTGTTAGCATGTTTATCACAAGTTTTGGCTTGGGGGTTAGATAGGAAATTTGGAAAATAATGTTTTTCAGAGGCTTAATGCAGCTTGGAACAATCTACTTGGAGGGGAAATTTCCATCCTTGGAGATTTTCAATATTTGATTATGTGAAGCAGTGATTGATCTGAGCTAATTGAGGCTATAATTGTGCTTAGAATACATGGTTGGCCGAGGTGATCTCAAGAGATCTCCAAGCAGCATGTCTGTGTTTCTGGGGTATCTGTTCCTTACTACAAAGGGATATTGCATTTGTTAAAAAGTATGTATGGTAGAGGCAAGAACTGAATTCAAATTCAGCAGGCGTTTCTTTTAAAGTTCATGATAAAATCTGTGGGGTTCTAATAGTATTGACAAGATACAATTGACAATATTGGTAAAAAACCCAAGCAACCAAATGAAAAAACACACACTAGAAGGATTAGTGACTTTTCTGCTAAATAGGAGCACAAACACTGCCAGAGGGAATGGTTGTAAGGGCTAAGTCCTTTAATATGCAACATGAACTACAGGGAACCAATCTCAACCTAACTCTGTTGTTTTTTCCAGAAATCTGTACAGTGGTCTCTGCCTTACATTGTGTTTGGAGCAACTGGTCTGTTGTCTGGGCTCTTAAGCTTGTTGTTGCCAGAGACCCTAAACAGCCCTTTGCTAGAAACTATTTCAGACCTGCAGGTGTGCTCCTACTGGAGGCTGGGTGATGAAGCCATGTCACTGCAAGCCCTAGATGGCTCACAGGTATACTAATTTTTTTCCTGCTACTTTTCTGTTGTGTTTATTTCAGCTGTCAGCTTGAATCTGCCACTCTGAATAGATTAGGATAGTGATTCTTGGCCTGTGGAGGATAGGCCCCAAGGGGAAGATTCTGTAGCAACCCTACCATCATATCTGAAATGTTTTCTGGAAATGCAGGCTGAAATATAGCTGGATTAATTCATCCCTTCAAGGCCACAAGTTTACAACATTTCCCTTTGGGATAAAGTGATGTCTGTGCGTCTCTAATCTCCAAGACTGATTGCTGCAGTGTGCTTCAGCCAAAGCTGGACACTGAAGCTTGAGAAGCCTTAGATGTTAACAAAACCAGAAACCTGTTTGTGAAGGGCTCCTCTCAAAGGCAGCACGCTACTTCTCACCTGCCCCAGCTGTTCTGCAGTGCCAGTTACCTGGTCTGTCCTAGACAGGCTCTGAATGGGTTAGAGCCAGACTAACCTTTGAGATCTCTCCCACTACTGACTCTGGTAAATGAGATTCATTGAAAACATTGGAACTACAAAACTCCCAGGTATAAGCATAAATAAATGTGGCAGCAGGATGTTTTTCAATGAGGTTTCCTTGAATTGTGTTTTTCAGGTCACTTTGTTAAACTCCTGGACACATCTCGCAGTGTCTGTATCTTCCAGTCACATGGAGGTTTTTTGACTTGGTTACTTCTCTGTGAATGAAGTGGGACTAGAAGGAAGTAGCTAGAGAGCTGGGAGTGGGTGTTTGAATTTGAATAAAGTTTTAAAGTTTAAATCCTGGTCCCAAAACTTTAAGTATTGAGGGATTTACAGAAATAGAAGAAGTAGTCAAAAAACTTGAAAGGAAACCCATAACAAAGCATTACTTTCATTTGAATAGTTGTTGGTCAAGCACTCTGAGATTCACATGTAGTCATAGTTATTTTCACAGAAATCACATACTTTTAGAATGGGGACATTTGCTTCCTATCAGAACTTTCAATAGGTTGCCTTGTTTACGAAGTTTACCTGTATTAATGCTTGATAGGACAGCACAGTTTAGTGACAAAAGCACCCTTGAAGAAAGGCTGAAAAAGGCAGCCCTTTAACCATTCATTTTATACTTCAGCTACTTTACATGCTTATTTTATAAACATTTTCAACCATACTGGATAATGTGTTATGGCACCACATTCTTGCTGATGACACAAATCCATCATATACATTTATATCACCTGCTATGTTGGTAATGACATGATTATTATGTCTTAATTGTGCAGATGGTTTACCAACAAAAGCAAATTTTGTAAGCAGTGCAGGTGTTACAGCTTAGAGGTGGGAAGTCACATTTTTATTTTCTACTTTTACCAGCTACAGTCAGTGTTACTCTTTGAGGTGACAAGTATTGTCTGTCGAATTGGTTTGCTTAAGTCAGTCAGTCCTCTCAGGTTTAAATCTTATTTGCTTGTGCTTCTGTAGTCTTCTGAAAAATCCCAACCTGAACAGGACCCATGAAAGGGGGTGTTGTTCTGAATGTTCTTCAGGAACACTTTGCCCAGATGGATTAAAATTACTGAATTTGAATGAACAAGGCATTGGTTCAGGCCTTAACTAATCCTGTAACTTCAGTGAAGTTATATCTAGAATGTCTGTGACATATTAGGGATTTTATTTTAAAGCTCACAAAGAAAGTGCTGATAAAATAGAAAGCTGTTAAACATTAACCCTATTTGACAAGGCCGTGAGAGGTCTTATGAAGCTGTTGTGAGAAAGATTTAGAATTTATTTGGCATACCCTGAATTCCCCCTGTGGAATCCATTGTCCTTTTGTACCATTTTCAAGATAACATGTGTTCTGATTGCCCAGAATGGAGGTTTTGTTCCTGTTAACATACATGAATGTGATATTCAAGTTGGACAGCATCCAGTGATAGCCTGACTTTCCTCAAATAGTTTTAGATGTCTAGAAAAAAAAGCCTAACATGATTCCCTTTACATCTTCTGACAGGTCGTAGTGCTCAAACTGCTTGAAATTCCTTTGCAGTTAACACACATTGCTGTAGCAAAGCTCCTCTGAAGAGAGATCTAAAGCTACAGATTTTGCTTGCATTGTACTGTCAGTCAGGAGCACTATTTCCATTTCTCTATTTTTCACCCTCTCTCTCACTGTTCTTAGCATATGACTAGGCAGGCAGAGGTCTTTAAAGAGGATGGATGCAAGCATACTGGGGAAAAAATCCTAAATAATTAAACTAGATAGAGTTTATACTAGCAGGAGAGTATTTTTAACTGAAATAATTTGTGTCAGTTCTCTGGAAAAATACTACACTGGCCAAATAAAAAATTAGCTGTAATAGCTGACTTTATTTTGGATATGTGGTATAAATTATGTTGTGGAAAGTACTCTGACTGGAGTAGGTATGCCTGTAATAGGGATTCTGCCTTATGAACATACAGCATGGTAATGTTTTTTCCCTTTTCCATAACACTTTCGTTTAGTATTGCAGGGGGATCTTTTAAATTCAATTTGCACAGTAAAATGTCTGTGCTACCTAAGGAAAAATACTAATTCTGGATGGAGAAGCTTTGCCTAAACAAGTAGTATTTGTGTTCTGAGCTGTGGCGAGCTCCTGTGTTTCCAGTAGCCCTGCACAAAGAGACTCCACCTCAGACTGAATTGAAGTTTAGTAGATTACCAGTTCAGAGTCACTCTAGCCAGTCACTCCTGTGTTTATTCTCTAGTGTCCTAGTGGAGCAGAGAAAGTCCCTCCTAACTACAACCCCATGTCTTTTAAAGATACTTTGAAGAATCAAGGATTTAAATCTGAATTCATATAATGTCTTCTACAAAGTTTCAATACAGTGGTTTGACCTGTGCTTTCTTACTTTTTCTCTACCAGCATTCCATAGAAGTGTAATGGTTCATGCTCATATATGTTGAGATTGATTTAGTGGCTTCAGTGTAATGAACAACTTTTTTTCCTTTTTGCTTCTAGTCTGGAGACAGAGACAGCTCTACAGGGAGTGGAAGTGAAGATGAGGAGTTCTATGATGCTGATGAAGAGACTCATATGATCAAGCAATGAAAAGAAGAAATGCTGGCCTATTTTATGCCTCTTCTTGCCCAGTCAGTCCAGCTGTATGACAAGTACTGGGGACCTTGCTTGCCAGGCAGGCTTGGGCAATTGGGCAAGTGCCTGTGTTTTTCTTTACTAGGAGAGGGATTTGAGTACTGTTCAGACTGATGACATCACTGATGCTCTCCATATGAGGCAGTCATTCCAATTCTTGTGGTTCAGAATGACAGTGCATGGACTGCATTTGAAGCCAGGTGAGACAGCAAGAGTGGGATGATGTATTTCAAAAGCCCTGGAAATAACCTAGACTTAGACAGATCATCAGTGCACGTGTGTTAGTATTTTATTTTCAAGGTGGTGGATTTTGTTTCAGTACAAATTGGTAAACTTGGAAACAACCACTCTACTTTTCCATAAGGGTGAAACTGCTGTGTGCCACTCCAATGGGAACAAATTGCTGAAATTGTTTGTTAAAACGACTTTTGCATATTCAGTAGAGGAGAGGCAGCTGTGAACAAAAGGTTTCTCTGTGTGCACACCTGTGCAGAGTTACAGGTGCAGCTGGTTAGTCATGAGCTGGGCTTTAACTTAGTGATAATGGAAGGCTGGGAGGAAGGACTACACAAAAGAGCAGCCACAAAGCCTGCAAACATAAGGAACATTACTGACCTTTTTCCTTCTTTTCATACACAAAGCTTTTTCTTGGGCTGTCTTGTGCATGTGTTTGCCACATGTTCCCCACATCTCAGCATGGCTGTTTATAGCTTTGCCTACTTTTACCTTGTCCTCACTTTGCCATAACTATTGAAGCTCAACAACTTCTCTGTGGAGTAATTCTGTGATGGATATTTCCTGGGTGTGACAGAGGTGAGGTATTTATCACATACTGTGTGTGTGGTGTGTTAGAATGTATAGCTTACTTTTGCTGACCTATCTGGGTCTTTATTTCTGGAAAAGGCTTAACTCTGAAGTGGTAAGAGGAACTGTGGGGTGCTGTTACATTTTGGGTGTTATTGTCAGCTGCTAGTGTTTATTTTAAAATCTTGTGTGTAGCTAAGGTTTTCATTTAAAAAGAAAGCAAATCTCTCTGGATCTTTTTGGTTACTTGATGTTTTTTAAACAGTGCTTGCTCAAGCACTTGGTTACTTGACCTTGTTATAGAAAGCAACTTCACTTTCCTGTTTTCACTGTACTTTCTTGTAAGTCCTTCATTAGAGGGATATGAAATCCTGTAATAGGAAAGATGAATATGTGAAATGTTCCAGCTACAAAAATGAGGCCTTACAAGGATTCAGTTTTCTTGATGACATTGTCATCTTCATCCTCTAGCCTGTGTCTTTCTCTTTGTTAAGATTGGTTTCCATGAAATGTTAGCCTTCCTACTTTGAGTTCCTAGCCAAGTGCCACACAATGGCAGCAAATATATTTTCAGGCTCATGAGCGCTTTTTGCATATCTTAGAATTAAAAAAGTTGAGTCCAAAAATATCAAAAAGCTGTCTGCTGAATATTTCCTGGTTAAACTGGGATGTTCCTTTACTCTGCAAGGAAGTGAAAGTAAACAGCATCTGAAGTTTGCAGCTAGCTGCTTGAACTTTGTTCACTGGGCACTGTAATGCTGAGCAAAGTGCAACTGCCCTGGTTTGTGCAGAGGACAGCCCAGAGCCTGCACTTTCACACATGCAGCATTCCACTTGGGTCTGAACTTGATCCAGGTATTGACTGTGAGCAAAGCTGGGAACTTTAGTCCCTATGGACTATCTATATCTATCAATATTGTTGTGATTTTTGCCTGTGTTATGAGGGTCACTGGAAGAGTTCTCACTCATGGTCTTACCTTCTTTTTTTCCACCAGACTATTGAGTAGATGTTGCACATGTGGCACTTTTTAACCCAACTGGGTGGTCTTTCTGCCTTATTTGGCCCTTTTGTGTATAAGAAAATTTAACTAAATAAGGTACTCAGAAATAGTTAGAAAAGCTGAATCAATTCAAATATTTTTAAATTTTTTACTCACACTTTAATTTGCAGACAGCTGGGAGAATGACTTTTTATTGCCGATGGCAAACATCAGTAAGCCTGGCAGTATTAACATGTTGCCAAGAGCCAGCAGGCTCTTTTAGGTATTTTTTTGCCTCTGTCCCTCTTTGGGTGTTGGGTAGAATAAGTCATGAACTGTCATTATCTGCTCCTGGCAACCCTGTGTAATGCCACAAGACCCTCAGTAGAATTTTCATTAACAGTAGGATGTTGTAACGGTTCAAGTGGAGAAGATTACTCTTTGCAGGACCTGAGCTAGATTTTGTGAATCTTCAACTAAAAATTAAATTTACCTCACCACTCAGGCACTTTTACATCATTGGTATGTATATGTGAAATTGTAAAAACAAGAGTGAAGACAAAATTAGCAGGGTTTTTTTTATTTTTTTTGCATAGGAATTGCTGCTCCTTTTTTAACCTTAAATCTGTCTCATGTTTTCACCTTTGGAATTTTAAAGGGAATATTTAAAAAGGAATTTTAAATCTTCTATTGTTACTTTCCCATATCAGTTAATTCAGAAAGTTTAGAGATAATCCCTGCAGGAGGAGCTCAGCAATGTAGTATCAGACTTTGCTTTCCAGCTTTGTGTTCTGAAATTCAAATCCATTAGGTGCATTAAGTTTCTTTCCCGAGGCTGTTCATTTTTTAGTATGAACTGGCCTTCTGGTACAGAAACCTGTAGGATCACTTTTCTTCTTCCCCATGCTATGTAATGCTTTACAATATTGAGATTGTTGTATCTCAGTGTCTGGGTAGTAAGTTTGCCATGAGGAGCTACTGGAAAGCAGAGGATGGATGATGCAGCACTGGATACATCAGTTTACTGCATGTTGTAGTGCTATGAGTCTGAGACCAGGATCCTTGCTAGAGTTTAGTGCAGTATGATAATCTTCTGCCATGTTTTTTGCTGGAGTAGCCAGTACTGTTAGCTGTTTTCATGTTATGCAGGCACTAAGGTACCACTTTTCCAAAGATGGAATTTATTCTCTGGATTCCTTTGGCTGTGATTTTTTTTTTTTTTTTTATTTTCCAGGTAGCTCACTTAGTGGGATTATGCTAGAGAGGAGAGAGTCTTTCCCATGGTGCTGATTAGTCAGGTCTCAGCAGAATCCCAAACACACCTCACCTACCTGGGGAGCTCACAAGAGATAAGTGAATACAGCTGAGAGTGAAGGAGAGTGACAGGTCATGTGAGGCAGCATGGAGGAGAATGAGCTGGAAGAAGTGAAAAAAAAAATAAAAATGTAGGATTCAACTGAAACACTCTAGGGTGAGGGTAAGTGAAAACACAAAACACCAGCTGTTGGATAGAAATACCCTTCTTTCTCCTTGTCTTGACTTGAAGCTTCTGCTTTCAGAGCTAGTATTGGTTCCAGGATGTCATATTGGGGATATCAGTTTCATAATTTCCTTTTTAATATCTGTTGTGTCCAGCACTGCCTCTTCTGTGATGAAACGTTACTTTGGATCAAAATAAAATGTGGCCTGCCTCTTTTATTTTGGACTCAGCTTCTTTATGAAATGGCATTGCACCAAAATAATTAAAATTGGAAAGCTCTGTTTTGGAGATTGTTGTATAACTGGTCATTGTGGCTTAATTTGCCAGTTTTCCTTTAGGACAGGAACGTTAGAATTATTTGTTGTGTTTGTCATACAACCTCTTGTGAAATTATACTTCAGCCTTCTGAAAGGATTTTAGTACCTGGCTTCTTTTGGTAGGCTGAAGAGAATACAATACAAGAGTGATTTGACAAGTTTATTTTTTAAAACTTCTCCTGAAAACAAAGCTAGCGCTGTCTCTTTAGGAATTGGGAAAGTGCTGTTCAGAGACCCCTGACATACCAAAAACTTGAAGTTTTGCTCTGTGTTACAAATGAAAAAAATAAAAGGAAGCTCTGTGTTAAAGGAGAGCCAGAGATGACTCTGTTCAGGTCAGGATGCTGAGTGAAGAGCCTCTCCAGAGACACCTGACTAACGCGGAGCAGGTTGTAGCTTGTTTCCACCGTAGTTACTGTCAAGGCTTTAAGGATGGGAGCCCCATGCTTGTCAGCTCAAAGTGTGCAATCTGTGGCAGCATTTCCAAACTCTGTGGATGTTCTGATGTTAGTTGGATATCATTTACAGAACCATGAGGAATGCAGTTGAGCCATGCATTTTACAGTGTATTTCACCTCAGCGTATAAAAGCAGTTTGCAAGAGAATGTTTTTCTTGTACTGAGGAAAAGGGGAAAGTGAAGAATTTTTCTGGAGTGTGTTAAAGGGAACATTTGAGCTAAAACGCTTGTTCCTGAGTCTTCTGAATGCAGATAATCATCACCAAATGCAAATTGGGTCAGTAGTAGTTTGTTTTAGCTGAAGGTTAGTGTGCTATTTATCCCTTTTCCCACCCTGTGAGAGCTTACTGGTCATGCTCTTCGACACAGCTGAATCTGTGACTGCAAACTGTGAGCCTTGCAGTAAAGATGTCAAAAAAGCCCAAGAGCAGTGCTGTCATTTGATGGTACAAGTTAGTCTGGCCTGACAAAATGCTTGTTTCAGAAATGTCTATATTCAGCTTTTACCAAACCGGAGACTTAGGGTATAGCTGTATTTTGAGTCTCATTCATTGTATCTTACTGCAAGATACATGGTAGAAAGACACCTAGGTAAGAGCACCTCTCTGGCAGATCTAAATGTAGAATTGGAGAGTGAACAAATTTTATTCCTATTTTTTCCATGCTATGTATTCTAATTTTTAATTTTATTTTAATTTAATATTTAACATCTATTGTAGCCTTCAGATTTTCCAGGTGCTAATATTATTTAAGGCTAATAGAGCTGGGTGTAAAACTTCTACACAGATAGTCTGAATATACTGAGCTTTCTCATCTTAATTTTGGAACTGCTCTCTGTTTCTGTCATTCTGAAAAATGCTCTTGTATTGCCTAATAGGGAACAGGGAATTTTTTTATTTAATTTGAAGTGCCTGTTTTATAAAGGGAGTCTTTAATTTCCTCAGTCAGTTTTATATGGGACTATGTGTAAAGTAGCATCACAGAATTGGATTATATAAGTGCCAAAGACAGTTTTTGCTGGAAAGCAATAGTCCAAAACTAGTTCTAGCTGCCTTCATTTAGAATTTATCCATGCAGAACTGGTATTTACAAGCATCCCTGAAACTATAGGGACAGAGAGTTACCTTTGTTTGCTTGTCTTTCATTGCTCAGTTCACTTAAGTAGCTTTTGTTTCTGAGAAACCAAAGAAATTAAATGAAGGATTACAGTGCTGGTTTTGTAGAACATTCAGCATTTATACCATGTAGCCATTATGGAAAAATCTATAGAACCTGTTTCATTCTGAGTTGCAAATGTCAAAGTTTAGGAGTGATAAAACCTGGTTAAAAACTGCACACTGGAATTTTTTAGTTCATTCATCAGTCTTACAAATTAGCATTGGTGGTAAACAGTTTGCTTGGAGCTTCATGGGATCTTGCAGATTTTTATAAAATGCACTCTTTGAGGCTTTGCAAAATAACAATGTATGGAATTTAAATCCCTACTGCAACTAATATTCACTGCAAGTCAGCCTTGTCATGGCTGCATGTTTGTCAGCAAAAAAAGCAGGTGGATAAAACTTGGTGCTGTAAGGGCTAACTAGGCCCAGAAGAAAGATTATTTCTTTCAAGCCATTCTCTGCTATGTGTACAGAATAAAGGGGGACCATGGGGTGTATGCAGCAAGATTGTAGGATGGAGTATGTTTAAATACTTCTCTGTCCTCATTCAGTAAAGGTTTCTAGAGGAAATCTGTCTTTATCATGCATGTTACTGCTTCCCACCAACACATCTGAGGTGCTCACATATACACCTGGCAGGAGCCAGGCAAAAAGTATAGTGGTAAGAAAATCTTTGCCAGTATTGAAAGTTGTATTTACTTTAAAATATCCTGGGAGAGGTGTCTGATACATCTGTTTTCAAATAAAATGTTTTTAAATTGTGGAAGCCTAGTTGGGAGACAGGCATTTCTGATGTTAGTCTGTAGGAAAAATCAGTTTTGCAGATACTGATGAAAATTGCAATAGAGCAAACAGCTGCAGGTGATTTGTGATGAGAGTTGTGTATGCTTTGATTTCAAGTATGCCTCTAAAATACTGGTTTCTAGTACTTTTACTCCTCAAAATCCAACCCAAATTTTATTTTTTTCTTGTTAAAATTTGCATAATGTGGAAATAGGAATTATATTTTTCATACGGATACTTTTATTGTATTACCTTTGCTTCCTGAATCAAATAGTATTTTGATTTTTTTAAACTACCTCTTTTATGTTGAGCTCTTTTTTTTTTTGTCACTTTTGTATTTAATTGATTTGGGGAAACTACAAAATATTTCCTTTTTTAATTTGTGTGGGAATCCATGACTTAAAGTCCTCGAGTCATCCTTTTCTAAAGGTTTTATCAAAGGCCTTTTAAATTTAGTTAAAAGATTAAGAACTTTCAAGAAGCATCATAATTACACAGTTAGAACATGGCTTTTCTGTATATATTGTTTGCCTTTACAAGGGACAGAAAGCCCTTAATTTTATACAAATGTCAACTGAAGGTGTGACTTTTCAGGGGCAGTAAGTTTTGAGTCGGGGCTTTAATCAGTTTCATTTATTGCCAGTTAGAGTTTTTTGTTACTTCTTTGGTATTGGAATTAAAAATGAAACCACTTAAGGAAAATACTGCTGCTTTTCTCCAGACACTGGTCTTCCTTCTCTTTCCCCATGCCATCTTCCAGTTCCCTGGCTGCTTGTCATGCTCAGTCCCTTCAGCAAGGCAACAGGCAGCACAGGAGACTGGGATCAGTCGGTTGTGCTTCTGTTTATTCACTGCTCTTTGTTTCTTGTTCTGCTGCTCTCTTGTGGGTTCCATCACCAGCCACAGTCCCTTTGGAGTTGCAGCTCCTATTGAGTATACTCTCAGCCTCTGCTCAGGATGATTTTCCTTTGGTGTTTCTCCTGCTCAGCTGTCTCTCAGTTTCTCTTGTGCTGGTGTGGGCTTTCCTTTTTCCTCGTCCTGATGTAGCACTGTGATCTCTTTTTCTTGGCATTTACAGCCCTGTCTTAGGTCAAGTAACTGAAACTCCTAAGGACATAAACAGACATTTATAGCCAAGCTCTGTGTCTCTGTGCATTCACATCCTTGCTGATTTAAGAAGACAGAACTTAGACCTCCTCTTGACCAGAGGACCAGCCAAAGGGGTAAACTATTTTTTTTTTGCTGCTCCACCTTTCATCATCATGAAAACAAATCTTTGTGTAGTCTCTGTATCCTGTAGACTTTTGTATTGTTTTCCCATTCCTGTTTAATTTGAACTAACAATCAAAAGTCCTTGCCAGCTGAGAGCTGAGGAACAGGAAACTGGTAACAGGGGCAGGGGGAGCAGAGTCAGTTAAAAAATGAAGTTGTATATAGTTGATGTGTGTACTGTTCAATATTTAATTTGGATTAATGGAGTACTGAGTGTTATGAGTCTTCCCATGTTAAATTGAGGACTGATATATTTCAGAAGTATTTTCTCTTCTTTGACTGTATTAGTGTGCTGTTGTTAACTCAGATCTGTACTGCTGGAAAGTCTGTTTGTAGAATACTTCATCTGAGAAGTCACAACTGAAGACAGCATAAGCTTTCCCACAGTAGACCTTTTATGGTGATATATTCATATGTTCTGTGAACAGCTGTTGGATCCATCTTTTTAAGATGTTCTTTGCCATAGGTGAGGGACCATAACAAATGTTAAAATATTCAGAATAATTGCACTTACCTATTCTGTTTTCTTAATGTATTTCCTATGCATACTGCCTTACCTGTATGTATTGTACTTCACTGGAGGTACGAAAAGTAAATATCAGGTTCTTAATTTACAATATGTTAAAGAGTTTTTAAAAAATTCTGTAATATTAAATATTTTCCAGTTATCTGTCTACTAAGAGAGGGTGATGATGGGTAAGCCCAAGTGAATTTAGTCAAAAGTTAGTGGTCTTCACTTTCTCTTTTAATCTGTGAATTATTTCAGTAATTTTAAATACTTTTTTTTTTTTTAAAGAATTTTATAGAGGCTAACCTATGTTAGTAAGTCAACTTTTAGGTGATTTGTAACAGCTATGATACTGCCTCTCTGACTCGTACAGTTCATCCAATGTCTTTGTAACTTATTTTGTGCCTTTTTTTCCCTTGACACAAAATGTCTCAATAAAAACAAGTTCTTTTGCAACACCACAAACCTATTTTATTGTACTGATTTTTTTTACTTGCCTGACCCTTTTGTTTTGTTTTCTGGAAGGACATGAAGCTCTCAGAATAGAATAGATATTTCTAATGGACTCTGCAGAAGAAAATTGACAAGGTGGAAAGCAGGTCATTTTGGAAAGTCAGTGCTACAAAGCGCCTGGGAAACTGGGACTGTCAGTACTAATCAATATATTCCACCATATCTATCACAAATCATTTCTAACAAAAACTGGCACCAGTGGAATGTGAGAATCAATTTACTACTGGCTTCAGTTGTGCTGATTGATGTTGAAAGACTGGAAACACTTTGGGGGGTTTAGCATAGCAAAATGTCTGTGGTGGTGATACTAACGTGTACTGGGTGAGTTCCCTTGAGCTCTAGTTGTCTCTTAAACACCCCTTCTTAAAGTGGGATGCAAATGCACAAGGCCACAGTCCCTGTCCTCAGTGCTCCTGCCAAAATAACTTGTCATGGAATGGCAGAACTTGAACATTTGTCTTCATTACCTGGCGATGAGGTGATAAATAGCTTGACTGCATTTCCTGCCCCCTGTTCAGTGGCAAAGAATCTGTCAGAATCTGGAAAAAGTGACTGGGGGAGTAGGGATCAGTGCTCTGTTCTGAACTGCCATTTGATTGTTTTCTCTGCCAGCCCTTGCTTTGTTACAGAGCAGTTCATGGAGTCCCTGGTAGCAGAAACCAAATAACCCTGTGCTTCTGTGAATGCTGACCCAAACTGTGCCTCTCCCACCAGACAGCTGGTAGCATTATTTACCTCATTTTCCATTTGAAGCACATCTGCCCGTTTCCCTGCCTCTGTGAAAACCCAAGGAGCAGAGAGATGGCTTGCTCCTTCATGCACTAGCCTGGCCAAGCAACTTGCTCTGCATATTCCCAGTGGTTTTATTCCATTATTGTTTCTCCTCCCCCACTCCCATTTTCAGTGCCCTGAATCTGCAGTTAACTAGTTCTAGCCCTGAATATCTGTCCCGTGGCCTGTCACTGCCTGGAGCAGATGCAGCACAAACGATTGACCCTCTCCCTTTGGCAGTTTGGCTTTGACTGCACAAAACAGCCAATAAAGGGGGAAAGGGCTGGGCAGCTGATTATGGGAATTAGCTTGACGCTGTTTAGTTTTATGGGCCTGAGATGAAGGAGGAAGTGTTTGCTTAAGAATTAAATTGCTTGCTTTCTTTCTCCTGCTGCCTGCTCTTGAGAATGATAAATCTTCAGAAGTTACAGACTGAAAGAATAGCATATGTGTTAGCCAGACATAGCTTGGACTGGAGGCTGTTAGCTCATCTTCCAGTGACTGAAGCTGGAGTGTGTAGCTATGCAGGTCATTATCTGATCTGTCTAGAAATTCTCTGAAAAGACTTGACTGAAGCTTCTGTAGCTTCTGACAAGGCTTGTTCTCACTAGTTTGTTAATTATCTTGGTCTGCTTTGTGGCACATACATCATACCTCTAATAAAAAGCAAATTATTTCTCACTTCTGCTGATGCTCTCATTGTACAGTAATTGCGCCCTTGTGGCAGTTGTTTCCCTCTGGGCCCATGCATTGCAAAGCCCCAGTGACTCTCCTCCCCTGCTTTCTTCCCACACAAAGCACGTAGTTGTCTGGGCCTTCCCCTGTGCTGTTCTTAAGACACTTCTACGGGTACATTAGCAAAATCTTCCTTTAATCCTGATTGCTTCTTCAGCTTCTCCCTTCCATGCTCTCTGCAGTGCCATGTTAGCCCTGGAACACAACACAGTTTTCAAGTTGACATATCCTAAGGATCATCTGGGAAGTTTGGTATCTTTGACCTTTGTGTACAGGGTGGCAAGCTGAGGAGTTTGATCAGACAGCTTTTATAGTAGATTGGCAGTACTGCTAACCAATATCACACAAAAACACATCTGCTTTTCACATGGTTCAGACAGAATGTGGTTGTCAGTTGTCTTCACTCTGTTGGGGGCTTTTTGTGGGGTTTGGTTTGGTTTGGGTGGGAGGGGATGGGGGGTTTTGTTTCTTTTTTGTTGTTGTTAACAGGGTATTGTTTTGTTTGTTTTGTTTAGCTTTTTATTCTCACTCTTCTCCCACACAAGTATTTCTTCCGGCATTCTAAAATAGCTCCTGGGGACCAGACTGTTTTGGGCCTGGAGACCCTTCTCAGTTTCACCGCTCAAGTTGACCTGTTTGTTCTGCAGTAATTGTATTTTGATCAAGAGAAGGCAATAGATCTTATGGGTATGTAACTGTTAGTGCCCTGTGATATATGAGACCTAGTTTCTAGCTCTGGCTCCAGTGAACTCTTGTACATTTTTTATTAGTCAGTAACTGGATGAAGCACGTAAACAGGGATGCCAGTCTGAGTCTTCTCTCTCCCAAGTGAGTTTGTGTTGGAGTGACTATTCTCACTTAGCACTGGTAATTTACTCAATTTGCTTCAAACTGCCTTGGACTCAAGCAATATGTCCTGAATCAGGTCAATTTGTACAAAACAGCAAAGTGTAAAAATAATACAAACTAACATTGTGCTCTGAGAGCAGTCATGAAAAAAAAAAAATACCAGCTCCTGGAAATGCAGTGATCCCGTCTCATTCAGCCCCTCTGCTTGACAGAGCATCATTGCAAGCACACTTCTTGGTTTGGCTCTTTTAGATCTTGAGTTTGGTCTGTCTGTCCCAAGTTACTGTGCCTCTAGATTTAAAATCCTTTTCTTGACACCTGAAAATAACCAGCAAACCCATGCTGAGATTAAAAGTGAGGCAGCTTTTTCTCACCTGAAAAGACTTCCAGGGCTAAAAGTTTTCCCAGTTGCACTGTGCTCTGCCAAAAACGTTTTTTCCAGATGCTGTTTTTCTAACCATGTGTTTAAATCAGTGGTATCAAGTATTTCCTTTTTGGCATGCAGGCTATTTACCTAGGCATATAAATAAAAGTGCTGGAAGGCTCTCATTTTTGTGGCTGTCGGCTGCAGGTAGGTTTTCAAGATGGTGGGACATCCTGATTGAAACAGTGGAACAGTAGTTGTAGCTTAGTGATGGATAAAACATAGAGGAAAAATATCCTTAGAAATGCTTGGAAATGGTCTAGTGGAATATTTTATGTTTAAATTATGATGCACTGAACTTAAACTATTACAGTGAACTTTCAGAGGACAGTACATGGATTCAGAAGTCAGAATGACAGTTTTCCTGCTCAGCATCTCAGTAAACTCTCCTGGAAGCCTTGGAGCTGATGCAGCCGGGGCTCCCAGATTCCTGCCTCTCCTGCCATTTTCTGAGCTGACCATTTTAAACATGGAAATTTCCAGACCCTGAACACATCATCACACTGGGTCCCAGTGATGTTGGCAATTCTAGAAGCACTGCTGTGTGATTTATGTTTGCTGCCCAGTGGCTTGATGCTTAACAGCAGCTGCAGGATGGACTGGATTCTGATGAATTTCCTACTTGAGGCTGGTCGGTGGTGGCTAGCAGCATTATAATCTCAGCCTTTTTCAGAATTTTCCGCATCCTCAGCCAGTGATCCTGGAGTGATCACTTTCTTTGGAAATAATACACTGCAGCCTGAAAAGATTCAGGTTGTAAATAATTTTGGGTTTCAAATCTCTTCCCAGGTTAAGAGAACTCATTTCTAGCAAAAGCTATCTGCCTTTTTCTGACGTGTCTGGTATGACCACAAATGGAAAAAAGATACCAGGTTTTATAAACCACTGGACCTGATCCAGTGCTGTGCTTAGTTTGGAAAGGATATAAACCTTTAACTTGCATGGTATGAAGTGCAGGCCCAAGGCTAATGTGAGAACGTGTGGCAGTGAGAACAAGCAGCACAGGCATTCGGAGCATTTTTGAGCCTGCCAAGTATTGATTGGTAACGGGAGGGAATGAGTGGAGAAGCATTTCAATTTGGCACCCATGTGTGATTCTGGTGCTGTCACAGTGAATTAGCAGGACTTTCTTTTCCCTGTAGTCCATCCCAGGCTTTTGTCATTGAAGTATCCCCTTTGCTCATATCAACTTGTTAAAAGACAAAGTGGAAAAAAACCCAAACAAATTCCCAGAACTTTTGCCCCCAAAAAGCCTGATTATGTTATGCTGCTATCCTCTGAATGGAGACTGAACAGTACTAACGACTGTCACAGCATAAATGTTATAGGGGATTCGAGCTACAATTACTCATTTTGCACAGTCACTTAATCCACTAATGGGGAGAAATGGGACAACAGTTTAAGAAGGCAAGAGAACTGTCAGAGATTATTAAATCTGTTGGGATCATTTGGTTTAGTAGTCTGTCTTGACCCAAGTACATGCTTCAGCTAATGCAACAGACTTAATGCCTCCGGTAATTAGAGCAAGAAGAGATGGGTCATCATTAGCAACTAGAAATTCAGAGTTGTATTTCATCTGGAAGGCAGCATCTTCAACAGGGCTTATTTGTTGCCACTGCAGATCATCTGTGAGTCACAAGTGGTACATCGGACTGACTCATTTGTGTGATTTAGCAGAGGCTTTTTAATACATGCTCACTGTTCCGTATGAATAGTTTTTCTAAATAGTTGCCCAACAGAAAAAGACACAGTATTGGACAACCCTGTGCAGTTAATACCACTGCTCTTATTTACAAGATGTTGGTGATTTCTTCATTGTTGTGCAGTTCACAGTTCAGATTACTTTTGACTGTAGGTTTGAAATGTCTTTGTCATATCTGTGAAACTGAAGAGTGAAGAAAGGAAAGCCAAGCAAGCGTGGAAAGCATCAGTAATTGGCATCTTCAGAAGATACAAGAGCCAATCTAATACCATTCAAGGCATATATTCACAGAATACGTTTACAAGGGTTTCACAGATCCAAAATCATATTCAGTCCTGCATATTGCCAACAGCATGAAGGAAAATTATATACCACAGATTCAGTGTTTTTGCAGATACTAGGAAATTTCTAAATCCTCTTCAAAGAGAACTGATAAGTAAATGAACAAAGGAAATTAGCCACAATCTGAATTCCATTACAAGTTACTATGAAGTGGGAACTGAAATAATATAAATGGGGTAATGTAATATAGCTGAGTCATTTCGCATGATCTTACGCAGATCAGCAGGCAGTGAACTGTGACTTGAGAAGACCAAAGTATTGAAGTGTGGCTTGAAAATACTTGAGAGAAGCTGTATAAATCAATGGATTCTCATCAAGCAGAATTTGGGTGTCTGTGGTTGGCTAATTAGGTATGTGATGCTGAAAACCTCCTGGGACACCACCAAAGAGGGAAGGAAGGTTGCAGTGCTTCAGCAAGAACTGTCTGGAGAAATTGTTTCTCAAAAATATGCCCGGACTCCAGCAGGGGCTTAAGGCACTTCTAACAATCCCTAGAAAAGAAAGGGATTCAGAAGTGTCAAAAAGGTAGCCATTCTCAGTGTGGATGGGAATCTCCTTAGAAACAAGTATACTTGGGAGTTTAATTTGCCAAATTAATCAAGTTCAAAAGCTTTCAACAGTGCTCAGGTCCATGATATCTGATGGACTGTGAGCTAACTAGAACTGAAGAGACCTTTTGTGGTTTTGTTTTCACATGGTTGCCTGGCTTCAGTAGAGTGCTTTTTATCTCCATGAAGCTGTTGTGAACTTTCCACAAAAGAGTGGGTCTTCTGGTCCAACCTCCCTGCTCAAGCAGGGTCATCCCAGAGCACATGGCACGGGATTGCATACAGTTGTGGATTGTTTCCAGTGAGGGAGACTCCACAACCTCTCTGGGAAACCTGTTCCAGGGCTTGATCAGTCCCACATTTAAGAAGTTCTTTCTCATACTTAGGTGGAACTTCCTGTGCATCAGTTTCTGTCCATTGTCTCTTGTCCTGATGCTTGAAACCACTGAGAAGAGCCTGGCTTCATCCTCTTGTTGCCTTCCTTCTTTCCTTCTGTGTTTCTTGAAGAGAGAGGAAAAAGAAATAGCCATTCTTCACTCCCTCTTGCTGGTGTGCCTGGGGAATTAAGTTGTAGGCTCAGAGGAAATATTTTCTCAGGAGATTGTGTTTATCAGCCTTTGGAGCTTGGATCCATCTCAGATTTTCTCCACCTTAGTCTTACTTTATACAATACTGTCATGGTAGGTTTCTGAGGAGGACCAGTCTGATGGAGGTTTCTCTGCAGTAACAGTATTTCAGCTCAGTAGACTTCACTGGAGAAGCCTGCATTCTTCCCACTTTGTGTCTACATCCTCTTTTATCCACACAGATGTTCCAATTTCTGCACTGTCCTTTCTCTTTACTCTTTCCTTCTGATGCAGGTTTTTCCCACAGTAACATCCCCTCTTCACACATGGTCATATGCCTCTACTTTTCTGCTGCGTTCTCTGCTATCTGGTCCTCATGTGACAAACACAAGTTCTTGCGAGGTCAAGACAGGCTGCTGCCTCCCATACCACTCTAATCTGTATTTTGCTGGTGGTGTAAAGGCCTTTATCAGCTGTGGTATCTACTGTCAGCCAAATAGCACTCTTCCCATCCTGTAAGTAGAGTAATATGTGGTAATGGATTGGTTGGAAATAATGGATGGATTATAATAATAAAGATTATGAATATAAGGTATGTTATTATATAAAAGAAAAATGACCAAAAGCACTTCATCTCTGCCAGCACCATGTGTCTGGACAGCTGTTGTGAGGAGAGACCTTATAGGTGCAAGAAAGAGAGACCCTTTATCTCTCCTTGCTTCATAATATATGTCTGAGGTTCAGAGTATTAAAGTAGTGTGTGGTGGTGTCAAGAGTGTTAAGGAAGTTGTCTGCTGTATGTGCTGTCTGAGGGGGCACAAGAGACTTAATGCTTTAGGGACATGCTTTTATTGGAATCTGACCATTTAAAAGGCTAATTCTCCTCTCCTGTACACTCTGCTTGGATATAATCCCATCCAACCTTCGCCTACAAGTTCCATTCCAATCTATAGTTCCCCTTGCCTTCTTTCAGATCCTGCCTTTTATCTGGCTTCCCCAGCAGAGCTCCCATAAACTGCTGGTCCCTCAGAGGAAAGGTAGCCAGTAAGTCTTGAAGTGAGCAAGAATGTGGTGTGAGTCCCTAAACACTGGGGAACCAAGACAATCCTTTTCAGTGCCCAGCTCTACTGGAAGCTGGTTTAGGAAGTAAATGCCTACATGTCTTTGTGAAGGAGTCCTCGAGTCTCTCAGCAAAAAGACAATGGCAGCTGTCTGGCAGGGAAAGGTTTGCTTTGTAGGTGCTGGGGAAGCGGATGTCCTGCAGGTATTTGTGCTCCAGTTAATTACTTAAATTAATGTACTTCATATTTGACTTAATGAAGGACATAATGAAGGATAACTAGGAATAACAGTGCCCGTCCTGAGGTAGCACCCAGTGCCCACCCAAGTGCTGCCTTTTGCCAGCTGCTATAGAGGCAGTAAATTAGTCAAGGGATGCCAAAGTTCATTTTCCTGGGGAAATAGTGATTTTACTCGAAAGTGGAGTGTGCTTTCCTTAATAAGGAATGCTTAGCAGCATGGGATCTCATCTCTGTCACTCCCTTCCATGTGCTGATGTACGTTTCTTTCTAAAAGCCACCAAGCTTCACTGGATCAATGAGGCCTGATCAATTGTTTTTGCCTCTGAATCATCCATATGGGGTTGTTAGCTGAGCTGCTGGCAGAAAATGAGAGGCAGCTTTCTGTCTGTTTACTGTAAAGAAAGCGAAGCAAGCTACAGGAGGGGACAGCCTGCACAATATTTACTGTCAATACAGCCGGAGAGACAGAAGAGATATAAGGAGAGGAGAGGGGAGCAGGGGCTGCAGGCTGCAACCCCAGTGAATGATCTGAGTGTAAAAAAACCCATGCATTTTCAGATGGAAAGAGAGTGGATTAGTCAACAAGGAATAACTGAGAGCATTTAAGAAAGGGCGTAGTGAAAGTCTAGCGGGGCAGGGACGTACTAGTGGCATGCCGAGTAATAATGCTCTGCATGAATGTACTGAGGCTGCACTGCAATCTGGAAAACACTTCCAGATCTGGCCTGAGACAGAGCAGTGGCTGGGATATTCTTGTGTATGCCTGCATGCAAGATCCACCATTTAAAAGTAATAAGAGGAACAATAACAATTGAACTTGGAGAATATTTGGAGCTAGTTTTCTGAATGAGCTGGATGTCACTTGGATCTTAGCTCAAACCAGAAAAAGAAACTTATTAAAAATAGGCATACTTCCTTGCTTCTCTCTCCTCTTATTCATCTACAGAGGTATTAGGTGACCTGAGCTTCAAAGGGCAAGAAGGCTCTGAGCAGCTCTCTCTGAGTGTTCCTCTACTTCCAGAGGCAGGTGAACGAGTGAAGAGTGAATTCACACTTTAAAGAGCAGCGAAGACCATCTTGCCATGAAACCATTCACAGATGAAGATGTAGAAATCTACATCCAGAGCAAGGTAAGACTTTATCTGACCAGATTTTCTGTCTCCCACACTAGGTGTTGATTCTGAAGGGTGCCAAATTTGACAGTTAGTTGCTCGCCTGCTGTCTTCATTTCTGAGACAAGATTGGGTGAAGTTTCATGAGAACTGCATTTCTAATGAGATTTCTAGGTTTCTGTTGCAGAATCTTATCTGCTGGTAGCCTAATTTTTCAAAGTGCTTGTCCTCTTCTTCTAGGTACCCTGAATTTTTATTCCTGATCTGGAATTCCAGATGTTAAGACTAGCTGTAATTGCCAGCATTTAAATCTAAGGAAAGGTCCTTGCCTCTCTCCCTGTCAGGTGGTCTTGGCTTGACCAAACCAAGACCAACACCAGGCATTGCCTCTGAGAAAGATTCATGTAGGAACTGCAGAGACAGACCGATATTGTTAGAATTCAGTCATCAGTCTGTCACCTCAGCTAAGGATACTTCTCTATATACCATGATTAAAATAACATGTCTCATTAGCACATGCAGACTGGAATCTCATTTTCTATTTTATAAGATACTCCAGCACTCAATTTTTCCCCCATTATGAAATGAAATAAAACAGAATAAAATCCTCTATGAAACAGTACTATTTAATAAAAGCTCTGAGTGGGCCATAACATTTTGTAAAGCTAACATGTTTCATGAGAGTACTTAGCTAGATCCTGTTTTATACTCTACTTTTCCTAACAAAATGTAAGATACCAAAGTGACAAATAAGTTCAAAATCAGAAAGTGTAAGGTTTTATTTTCTGTAAAGGATCACATATTCTACTACAATGAAAGGGCTGGTAAGAAAGGTTTGTTTTCTCTATGGGAATGTTTTGGTGGCAAGTATGGAAGTTCCCATAGAAATATACCTTCTTCAGGAGTGCAGTGTGGTGCACAGGAAAATCATTCCATGAGAATCTGTTCAGTGAGCTATAACAGCAACACTTCTCTGAAGTTTTAAAAAGCAGAGCTACAAAGGGAACAGAGGGAAGCCATGAACAGGAAGATGCTCATATGACAGCCATAAGTATAGGGAACAGAAGCAGACTGTAGTTAAGTGAGGCTCATAGTTGCCAATATTTTAGGTTATACTGAAAGTCTGTTTTCTAGCAGCCCTCCAGCTCTGATGGATTCTTAGTTTCTGCCTGCTCCTGAGTCTCTTGTCCAAGTGATGCTGCCTAACCTTCAGGCAGTTCAGCTTGTCAAATATTGCCTGGTTTTGGAAATAGGTCAACCACCTAGTGCAGCGAATCTCTATAATACCAGAGATTTCATCCTTAAGCCACTCATCAAAGGAAAAATTGGAATGCAAATGAAGTAGATGTGGCTGGCTAAATAAGAGAAAACCCAAATCTTCCTAACAGTTCCTAATAAGTCCCAATTCTGCTTCCTTTCCCCTTAATAAAATCTTAATTGACCTTGTTATTCAGGTTTTGTGCATTTGTTTTGGCACAATTCCTCAAGTTAAGACCTGGTAAGGAGAATGCTAGTAAATCACAGAAATGTCTGTCCAGCAAAGGCTTTACAATGTCTCTTCTCCCAATGTGTCTGTGCTGGTACTAGAAGTATCTGAGGTAAAATGCCTTGACTCCTCAGGCTCACATTCTGTTTTCTGATTTTTTGCCCTCCTTCTGTAGGAAGATTATATTTTCCAACAGGATGATTAGGGAGCTAATTATGGTTAGCTAATTATAGTGAGCACCCTCTGTCAGTCACATGCTCATTGTTCTTTTATCCCTGATCCAGTGATGGGGAGTACACATTGAAAGAGGTGTTTAGTGGCACTCCCTCAACTGTTTTTTTGAGTGTGTACTCTTATAAAGAATTCATGACAACTGCTGTAGCCTAGCCAGTAGGTGATGAAGGCAAAATTAAATGAGGCCAGGCTGGGTTGAATGGATTCTCCCTGAATACTGGAGGTGGCAAAAAATGTTTCCAGCAGGTGTCCCTTAGAGAGAACAGAGCATGAGCAATGCATACAGAGAGCACTCTAGGTCTCTGTTTGGGCTGTGAGATTGTATACTTTTATACTTTTCAGTTTTAAAAAATCTGGTTTTTTGCCTAAAAGCTCTTGGAGATGGACAAATTTCTCTACCACTCACCATTCGTTTGCTGGAGAAATCATTAGGTATCTTGTTGAGCAAGACAAGCTTATGGGACTGTTATAAGGAGTTGCTCTGGATGAACAAAAATAAGGTGGAGAAAATAGATACAGTATAGATACAGATGGAGAAGTGCCATAAATGAAAGCTGAGATGAAGAGGTGAAAATTAACATGGCCTAAAATATTTCAGTGGTTTTTGTTTTGTTTTGTTTTTTTAAAGTACATGTAAGTAGCTAAAACTGCTCTTAGAGAAAAGGATGAATTGGAATGAGGAGGAGGGTGAATTACTAGGGAAATTAAAGGGCATTATATAAACATAAAGGACTCATGGTGTTAAGATAGCAAAGAAACAGGATGTCAAGGGTGGATGAGAACCCAGTGAAGGGAATATGGTGCTGCTGTCTGAGGTATTTCCCACTTCCAAAAGCTATTCAGGCTTAGTAAAAGTAGCTAACTTTGTCTGCGGGAGGAAGGTATTCAAACTCTGCTCATCTTCGAGTTCAGTATTAGTCAGTTGCCATTCATTGGTTGTGAGGCAAGCACTAGTCCACTTTAGTCCATTGAATGGTCCCTTGTTGTGAAGAGGTGAATCTATTTGTCCCCTTCCAGGGCCTGGGGACACATTTCAACACACTCGAGTGGTTTTGGCTGATAGTTCAACATTTGACATTAAGGCTTCCAAAAGGACTTTTAAAGAAGTACTTGTCAATGATATTTTTTAAAAGAGAAAAGAGTTGTTTAGATGCTGAAGAAGATGCTGAGTAAACAGGACAGGAATTTTAGAAAGCCATAGACTGGTTTGAGTTGGAAGGCACCTTTAAAGATCATATAGTGCAGTTTCCCTGCTGTGGACTGTAACACCTTCCACTAGATGAGGGCTGAAAGCCCCTTCCAGCCTGGCCTTGAACACTTCCAGGGATGTGGCATCCACAGCTTCTCCGGGCAACCTGTGCCTCACCACCCTCACAGTACAGAATTTTTTACTTAGGTTTTTGCTTCCTTTTGGTCTTTGATAATAACAAAAGACTGTAACACTTAATGTTTGATGTGGCAATTATACTTTCTCATTCACTTTAGCCAAGTGATGAACTCTGTTTCTGAGTTTTTTTCTTTCTTGCCTGCAAGTATTAAGATTTAGTAGAATATGGTAAGGAAAAAGAAGAATCAAGAAAAAAAGCAAAAGCTGCGACCAAATGAGACAAAGCATCCAAATGATCCAAAAAAAGAGCAGTAAATAGTCTTAATATTTCACTCTGCTTAAGTAATTCTGGTTTTCTTCAGAAAACTCTGAATCTCCTTCTTCAGATTGTGACAGTACCCTTATGTTCCCTTCATTTGTACTCAGGTTCATCTTATATTTTTCTGAGTTGTTTAGCTCTCACCTCAGTCCTTCCAAGACTCAGACATTTCACTGAAATAATTTTCAATAATTCATTATATTACTACTTCTTGAATTGAAGAACTACTCTTTAAGCCACACAAACACCTAGTTCCCAATGAGACCAGCTTTGGAAAGATGCTTTCATGCTGTCTAGGAGGAGAATCTCATCTGTACTTCAGCCATAAAGACAGTGTGGATACTTTCAGTGTATAAGGCGGGCATCTAAATGATGCCACATACATCTACCACCTGACTAATGGACAGATCTGTGACTCTTGATGTCCTGTCAGTTCTTGGAATGAAACATATCCTGGCTTTGAGAATGGCTACCATATGCAGGGGAGTAACTGGTATTCTACATCCAATGGATAAAGAATTGAGACTGTAGCTGTAGTTGATAACAAATATATCTGTGTAATGAACTTCTTTCCTTCCATCCAATGGTGTTGACATGGAAATATCAATTAATGCTCAATAGTCTTGAATATTGATCCTTTGGTGTTCACAGCTCTGTCTCACGGCAAATTGATTGCAATAAACAGGGAACAGTTTTTATTCCCAGTGCACCACAGGCACAATGTTTCAGGATGCTTTCAGCTGATTTGTCTGATTCCCACTGGAGACAGACTGCAATTACCTGTAACATGAAGTGTCTTTCCTGGAACTGACAGGTGGAACGGCGGCATTACCTGGTTTCCAAAGCAGTGGAGGAGGTGCAGAAAATCATCCAGCAGCTGACTGCAGAAATCAGCTACAAGGCTGTGCGATTCCAGGCTATCTCCAACTCTGGCATTCACAATGAGAACATTAAGGTATGAACAAGAGCTCTAATGCACTCTCTGGCAGCCTTTAGGTAACCAGCAAGTGATTTCTCCATTATGTAAGAGTTTGTATGGGCAGGTAGCTCAGCCAAAACACCACAGACAACGTGTTGACGCTTCCCTGTGGAGTTCTAGTGACTCACTCATGGACATCTCACAACCAGAGTAGCATCAAAGAGAGATGGGTAAATCAGGCAGAGCCTCTTCTTACAGCTGCTGTGTGTACAAAGAGCATCTATTGCCAGAGCTGTCAATCCACAAGCAGAAGCCAAAGCTCTTTGGGAGACAGAAAGTAAAACTTATGCAGCAGTAACATAAGAAAAAATGTTCATGCTTTCATGAGGTATGACTCATATTTTTCACAGGTGGAAAAACTGTCAACTCACTAAAAAAAAAAAAAGAAAGAAAAATTAAAAGTCCTTCATCTGCTATGAACATTAGAAAGCTCCTTCTGAAAAATACATTTTTCCTTGTCATGGATTGGAGTTTCTTTTTTAGTGGGAGGAGGGAAATGCCTCCCCATTTTAGACCTTCAGACATGAAAATAATAATGCCCTGTCCCAGCTGTGACAGAAGAAAGCTGCCTATTCTTGTGACTCCGTTACGCAAAAGTAACTAGTAAAGACACAAGAAACAATCACAGCAATGACAACTTCAGATGAAAACAACCTTTTTCATCTTATCTGAAGTAGTTGAAATATTAATGTCAACCATTTTACTAAATTTAATAAACAGCCATTCACGCATCAAGACACAGCAAATACGTAAAAGCATGAGACAACTTTTGCAGCTCTCCAGGACTGAAAGGGAAAAAGTCTTTGTATGAAGCTGCTGGAAAGGTATGGAGGTGGAGGCAAAATATAATCATCCAGTCTGAAACGTGGCTATTGCCCTGGGGACAAAGACATTCAGATTCATAGCTTTTCTGGAATTTTGTGTATCCCAGAGCATGCAGTCTTGTCAATAAGTATGGCCACAGTGACGTCAAACAGTGCCACATTCTGGTCCATGAGTTCCTCAGTACCAATCTGCCAGCCACCTCTTGTGCTGGAACAAACCTGCTTGGCTAATGAGGTCTGACAGGACCAGGGTCAGGGTAAAATTGCTGCTCTGGAAAGCAAAGCAGTACAAAACCACCAAGGCAATCTATTATGAGCAGTAACTTGGTGTTATAGCATGCAGATCTGAACAAATTCTGCTTGAAAGAAATCCTCAAAATCAATTTCCTTAAAAGTGGTAGATCTGTTGTTCATGCTTAACTGAACCCAGTGTTACAAATCCGTGGAAGTAACACTAGGAGGATCTGGCTAACTATGTATGGGGGGCAGCAAAGAATGGGTTGATGAGAAATTATTTTGGTTTGGGCTGTCTACTTCCAAAAAATTGGAAACTTAATACCATTGCTGACATACTTCAACATAGAGGAGACTTGTGTCCAGGGAAGGTCAATGTATTCATTATTCTGTGTTTAATTTCACAACATCTTCTTTTTCTGTCAAATCTAGTTAAATCTACAGTGACTTTTCAGAACTTTCAGCTTCTGGCTAAAAGGAATCAATTCAACATGGTGAGAGATTTAGATTTGTTGAGAAGCCTCAAGATCCCTTCTAAATATGAAGGGCTGAGTGGAGAATAGTTAAGAAAAGTCTTTAGGTATTCAGTGCTTTCCTGTGACCTATGTAACAAAAAGTCACGCTTTAATGAAACACCTGAATTAAAATTCAGATGAACAAAACCGATAATTTAATTTTTAAAAGTTCTAAGTGTTTGTTTTTGTTGTGGCCCACCATTTTTGGAACTGTCAACTGTGCAGGGCTGATGCAAAGCTGTGGAGGCTCCAGTAAAGTTATAATGAAGAAGTCCAGACTAATCACTGGTACTGCACTGCCCAATGGCATTGCCAAGTGTTTAATCAAGGTGGGGGTAATGGGGGGTCTTCCTTTAACAAATTCCAAGCATCCAAGGAAGCTTGCAGCTTTGCTCTGTGAATGAATGACCTAGCATGTGCTTTCTCTCTGTTCTGTGTATTTCTTGTCTTCCTTTCTGCCTCTCTCAGGATCAGCCAGCTTTACTGGCCAAGTGGTCAGCTATGCTTCGGAGGAAGCGCCCATTCCACCCATCCATCCAGGTACAAAGCCTTCCTGGTGCCTGACAATCCCTGTGCTTGTTTCCTCCTCACACACCCTCTTCTCCAGACAATTTCACCCACCAAACTGATCCTTCCATGACTGTTTTGTCCACTGCACATGAGACTTGCTTTTTTTTTTTCCTCCTCAAAGCATAATTATTTTCTTTCTAACCTCATGTTTCTACCTCCCCTGAACAGCCTGGCCAGATTCACAGGAATGAGGTTGTATTTAATTTTCCCAGCATACTCTAGACAGGATTTTAATACAGCAGAACTGGCCACAAGTTAAACCCCCCAGAACTGGAGACTCTTGCTTGAGCCTGTGACTTCCTGGGGCCCATGGCCTGCACATAATGTGTGAGACCATCGTGTGACAGAGCAGAGGAGTGGGACTGGGATTTGTTTAGGCCAAGAAGACACCAACTTGCCAGCTTTACAGTGCTATTCCCAGCCTTGTGTATCCTGTTTTTTCTGGAAAGCCCCAGGTGGAGGACCCTTGTGACTTGGATTTGCAGGCACTCACACAACATAACATGTGCAGCTCTTCCCTTTGCAATCTCTTGGGTGCCAGTGCATACAAGACAACATTTTGGTATGGGGGGGAATGGTTGTGTACCTGCAAATGTGGCTGAGGCAGTGAGAGGAGCAGTAACTGCAGGACAGCCATTGTATTTTTTCCTCATGGAGCTCTTGTTTCTGAGCTGTCCACAGGATTTCTCAGCCCCACTAAACCTGACGTGTGCAGGTCAGCTTGATCTGCAGTGTTATCCTTTCAGCATGCTTCTGCCTTTATATTTGACAAAAGAGCAGCTTCCTGGTGTTTTCTTTGCTATTTCTGTGCTTCTGGCTGGCCATCTTTTGTTTTCCAAATCTCCTGCCAGGGAGCAGAGAAGACCAGCTGCTCCCTGTGAGAGAGAGAGAGAGAGAGAGACAGGAGGTGAGCATAGTAAGGCAGCCCCTGCCCTATGGTCCCTGAGTGAGACAGACACAAGGAGGGGAGCTGGGTCAGCCAAGAGCAGATCATCAGGAAAGTCTGCTGATAAGTTAGGTCTGAGGTCAAGCCAGTCCCCCACTCACTGGAGCCCAGGGCTAACCTGAAATGGGGGTCCCAGACCCATGGGCAAGAAGGTGTGGGTAGAAGTCCCAGAAAGGCTGCTTAGGGACAATAAAGCCTGTTAGTGCCCTCAGGGTCCTGGCACCTTTGTGGTCACACTTTAAATCAGCTGAGCTGAGCTGAGGAAGGCTACCAGAGGGTTTTGGATTATTACAGGAGAGTGACAAGCGTGTTTGTTCACCATGAATGTAACCACCTCACGGCAGTGGCTGTCACTTCACATGTGCTCATGCAGCAGTTTCACCTTACTTATGCCAGGGTAAGTTAGGCTTGGTACAAAGTGGACTTGAAAAGCTCCTAAGCCAACATGGTAAAATCCTGAAGCAATTTGAACACACCTTCTGGTGCCACAACTGCCTGATACTTCCAAAGTAGCACTTGGACATGTCTGGCTATGCCCTGGGCCAGACAGATGATGTTTTGTGGTATTTGAGTCACTTCATTCTTTTCTTGCAGATAGTGTCTCAGAACTGGTTTTTATTGGAAAACGGTTGTTCCCCAAGTGAGGCAAATTAACTGGCTTGCAAACAAGCCTGTTTAAGGCTTCCTTGTCCACTGGTTGCTGCCTCCACCCTTACACTGTTTCTGTCACGTTCATCAGGAGATGTAGTTCCATACATTACATCTGGCCAAGACCTGGACTTATTTCTGAGGGTGACACTGCCTCTGTAGGCTCAGGCACGTCATTTGCCTTGTGTCTCTGTCCCTTTAAAGGCCAGTCAAACAGGGTGAAACGCTTGTAAAATTAATGGGCCATAGCCTTATTTTGCTAATGCCTGTAGTGGACTTTGAAAGAGATCAGAAAGATGTGCTTTCTGCCATAGTTATTACTAGTATTGAACTCTGGGCTTATGTCAAGTAACAATTCTGAGATAATAACTAGCACTATTTGGGTTTCCCCTGGCTGGATCTCAGAACATATTCTCTCATGCCTTCCTGCTCCTTGGAAGCTGCTGGTTATTACATCTCAATTCTGCAATTGCGGACTAGAAATAACAAGAAAAGCGGGAAAGCATAGCAGGTGTGGTGGCAAATCAGCCAGTGAGCTCTTATCTTCTAAGAGCTTCACACCAGACACCTTCTAAGACAATTTCCTTTTAATCTGCATGCCTCCAAGGTAATCCTTAGGCAGGTCCTGGCTGTGTTCAGTTAGTCCCATCATAACATGGTTTTCCCTTCTTTTCAAAGCCCCCACTTTTACCTAGTGCTTCCTCAACCCTCTTTTCCTTACTTTAGCTCACGGATCTGCCCTTGTCTCCTCTCAATCTCTCTGAACTCTCCTAGGTCTTAGCACCCAGCCAGTTCCTCATCACAGTTCCTCTGCGTGGCCTGACGGGTTACAGGGAATGCCAGGTACGGCACTGGCGCTATTACACCGTGAATGGAGCCAAGCTCCTCTCCTCCGTGCGGGACCCTGAGGAACTGCATCAGTGGCTGGAGGTGGAGCAGTTCTCAAAAAGCCTTCAGCAGTGGCACGAAGAGGACGTGAACATCGAAGGTGATCTGGTTCCAGCCAAAGTCCTTGTCGTCTTCCGGGAGCTGGTGGAGAAGTCCATTGTCTCCTGTAACCTCTCCAGTGAGTTTGGTGGGGACAGGTGAAAGGGAAACCATCACACACACAAAGTGTTTGGTTTGCGTGGTCGGGAGCCAAGCAAAACCCTCCAAAACCAGGAAGCCTTCAAGCAATTGCAGTGATGTACACAGACCTGCACTGAAGATAGAATTCAGTAGTTCTTGGGCTCTTTGTACCCAGCATGTTACTCCTTTCTTAGGAATTTGGGTACAGTCTCCAGCAACATCACCATCACAGTTCAACTAAGAGGCAGCCCAGATTTTTAGAACATTTAGGAGTTTATTTGGGGAAAAAAAAATCTTTCTCTACTACAGCACCTGCAATATATTTAGATTATCAAGGAAGGTAGTATAGGAAAATTTGATACAGGAAAGAAGCGTAAGTCTGAGAAGAATGTGTTTGAAGATATTTATAGGGCAGATAATGCTCTGGGGAAACCTTTGCTGCCCACAGCTTTCCAGTATGGGATGGTGGGAACCAAGTAGAAGGACTTCTATTGAAGCAAAGTATGTTGGACAAGTGCTCTTTTCCCCAGTGTCCAGGCTATTCATGTGGTGCCTCTTCCTATAGCGTGTTTCCAGGATGACCTTACTCATCAGTAGCCTAATGAGTCTTCTGTATTTCAGAGCAATAGAAGCTATTTCCACTCATCTGATAGCACTCTGAATTGTAGTCACAGGAAAAAAGAAAGTTAAAGTCAAGCTCTGCTAGATAATGGTATTTTTTTCAGGAAATACTTGTTATCATTGGAGTGGAAAGGTGGATAGGAATGAAATTTCACCACTGAGGCTCACAAGAAACACCAGCTGGAACAGGCTTGCTTCTGAGACTTTACTGATATGGAAGTTGTTATGTTGGGCAGCAGCCACATCAAGTTATTGAGTGAAAGTTGAGTGTTTCAGGAAAGGTACTTGCAAGGACCCCACAGAGTGATGTTTGGGTTGATGATTCTGATGCCTTTTTTCTAAGGTCTGCTGGGAGGAGATGAGCTAAGATGAAATAAGGAGAAGCAATTACCATTTTGTTTGTTTCTGTGAAGAATGGACTTCCTTCATCCCACTCCCAAAGTTACACAAAAACTTCACTGATTTCTTTGCTTCCCTGTTTTTTAATTCTTCCAGCACCAGAAAAATCATTTTTTGAGGTGTCTCACTTTTTATTAGTGGAAAAATAGGTATAAGCATTGCAATGCTTTTGGAAATGCCATGAACATGTTTACATGCTGACACAAGTGGTTGCTCTAACACTTTTCAGCTGCTAGGGATCCTTATTGGGAGCTTGGGAACAGAACAGTTCCTGCTTTGATGCCAGGCTTGGCTCAGCAGGGAAATAACACATAGATTTTCTGAGGTTTATGAAGTTCTGGTTGGGATGGACTCTACTCTTTGCAAGGTAATTCAGCCCATGAGTTGCTCCCTAGCCCATGCCATCAAAATGAGGTGGGATAACACACTGCTCTTTAAACTGCTTATGTTCATCTGCTCAGGCTTTCACTTCAGTGGGTTAGAGGATGAACACACAATTGGCTCAGATGGCAGAGCTGAAGGGACAGTGATCCTGCCAGAGTGACTGGGACAGAAGCTTCTTCCATGAACTCAACGTGACCAACAGGAAACATCCCACAAAATCTATATAGTTGCAGCTTTCTTTCCTTCCTGTACTCTTACATCGTGTTGTTCCTGGAGACAAGCCACTCTACTTTCACACTCAGGGAACTTCTTTCCTCCAAATTACCTTGGAACTAACTCTTCTTAACACTCAGCACTTGCAGTGATGTAGCAGTTAGTATTTTCTGTGTGACTACTGTGCATAACAGACTGTAAATTCGGATATTGTCTTCTGTGCAAGTGCATCTCCAGAAACAAACCTTAAAGATACTGCACAAAACATTCTGAATGACTGGCAGTGGTGTGATCTGACAAGGGTCTCATCTCAGGTCCTCTGAAGGAAGAAGAATATCTTTACATAGGAAGTGTTCATCTGGTCTTCTCCAATCTGCAGTGATCTCCTTGCAGTGTACCATTAGAAATGTTAGGTTGCACCGCTTGTCTGGCTCTATTTTTAAGAAGCTGATCCTAGGGTTTAAGAGGACCCACAAACAAAAAAAAAACAAAAAAAAAAACAAAAAACCCCAAAAAACACCAGCATGATAATTGAGTATAAGGTTAAGAACTTGGTTCTTTCATCTTCCTGTTCTCATTCTTCAGGACTTTGATAGATTCAGGTTTTTCTTATACTATTGCTTGGCTTGTGGAAAAGGACTTTTTTAGCTATATTTTCTTCTCTTGTTGCTCTTTCACAGGTAAAGTGACAGTGCTGGAGAGCTTCAGCTCAGTGGTCCGGGTGGCTGTGGAGACATCAGAATCACAGGTTGAGGTGGAGCTGGTCCCTGCTGTGGAGATTCCAACTTGCTGGCCTGAGAAAGCCCGGTGGCCTCGTTGCCTTAAGCGTTGGCCTTCTCGGGAAAAAGTGCAATGCATCAAGGTAAACAGTACAAAGTACACCCTTAACTCTGGGATGGAATTTACCTCTCAGGTGTCTGACAGTGTTTTCCCAAGGGAAGAACTGCATGGTGATGGCAGTAAGGTTAGAAGATGTGTTCTCTAAAGAGAGAAGCAATGTTTCAAAATATTCTGTCAGATTTTATTTGGATTTTGTGTCCCCCCCCCTTACAGTGATGAATTCTATAGAAAAAATCTGAGTTAACTTTTTATTGTGTAAGTCTCTAGCAAACAGTTCTGCCTGCATCACACAGCTCTAAGGGGCATCATTTGTGTTCTGCCTCATGTAGGACTTCAGCAAATGGGCTGCTGTCTTGCAGTTTTCCTTCCAGCTCAATCCCATCTTTCCCTACAACATTCACAGCTGGATTCTGGCACTTCACCTCAGCCAGAGCTCAGATCAGCTCTCAGAGAGTTATAGCTTTAATTCCTCACTATGTCTTTGTTCCCTGGTGACATTCAAGAAAAGGCTTTGTGGTTAATGCAGCTGTGAACAAAATTTTTTTCACATTTGAAAAACAGTTAGAGAAGAAATCTGTCAGTAGTACATCTGCCATATTCCTGCAGATCCCATTCCACCTTCCAGTCCTGCTCCCCACTTATGCACAACCTCCTTCTCCAGAGCAAAGTGCCTGCAGAGCTGCACCTCTGTTGTAGTGGCAATGCTGGTGCTGTGCCTGATGGCTCTAGAACAGGATATCCCTGCAGTAACTGATACCATCACACAAGGAAACAATGCAAAATGCTTGTTTATTCAACAAAGCATTAAGATGGGAGCACGCCTCATGTTTGCTGCCTCTGCTAACCCTGTTTAGAATAGGCTTCAAGAGATGTCACACATGCTTTTGTAACCTCTCTCTGCACTTCTGGGACAAGTTTGCCTCTGATCTGCTGTCACACTTCCCCTGTTGTTCCACAGTCGCTGGGTTTCGACCTCCTGGCCCGCTCTAACTATCACTGGCAGCTGTGTTTCTCCCGTGCTGAGCACATCCTCATGGAGGGACTTGATGAAGATGGTGGTTGTCGCATGAAGTGCTTCAGGGTCATGAGGCAGATGAAGGAAGATGTCTGGTGTGCTGGAAATAAGCCTGTCATCACAGCTTATCACCTTCAGGTAGGCATCACCCTGATATCCAGTAGTGTCAGAATGTTGTGGTGTAAATCAGTGTGGCATCTGTGTAACTTCTGAGGTAAGTGTCAAATCTGCTGTACCTTTTCATTGCTTTATGGTGGCAAGGAGTTCACTAAATATGTGTTCCAAACTTCAATAAGAAACTAAGGCCTGTAGGAATATTATGATTGCAGCAACACAGAGTCGAGGCCCCTGCTCTGTTTTGACTTCACATTGTACTGTTGTCTGTAATTGCATACTTACTTCCTGCTTCTTCATTATCCTAGCCATCTGTATCCATCTGTCTCTCTGCTGGAAGATGGTGCTTTTTTCCTTTGTGGATATGCACCAAACAAAACTATCTTAGGTGAACATTATTAATGAGTTAGGTGCAAACTACAGTTCTGGTGATGTTTCACCTGGGTTAGGAAGGGAAGAAAAAGTTAAAGGGGTGATGGCATCCTCCCTGAACCTATTTCAGGGTTCAAGATGGTTTCAAACAAGATTTGTGAAGAAGAGAGAGAAGACTCTGCTATGACTGTGTCCCCATATCTGACAGCTGCAGACACTGATGGGCCACAGGCAGCACCATTTGTTAGATTATAGATTAAAATTCCTATTTTCTGGGACTTCATTCTCCTGGAGTTGCCGGGGAGAGGCTGTACTTTTCCCACCTTGAATCCTCAAGCCATTAGGTTCCTACAGTAGTTACTGATCTTTTGGTGGCCAAAACCAGATGCAATGCTAAGATTTCTCCTGAAGAAAAAGCTGGTGACCATCAAATGCTGTTACAGTCATGGCACTACTCTAAGTAAAGATGGAGTAAAAAAAATTAAAATTGATGAGGCTGATTATAGCTTAGCTGAATGCAAAACTTCAGTGCCTGTAAGAACAACCTGGTGGGAAAACTGTCATATGTAAGACAAAGTGGAAAGCCATTTAACCATTAGGAGCAATGTTTTTCCCTGACTGAAGGAGCTGATTGTGCAAGAAGTGCTGTTGCATTGACTCTTGTTAAAGTAAGAAACTATTTAGAAGCTCTTCAGTTCTTTTCTGTAACTGTACTTCTGGCTTTTATGGCAAGTGAGGATTGGTTTACCAGACAGAAAGAATTTTTCAAAATCACTCACATTAGAAAGAAAAACAGGAAGAAAAGAAAAATGAGAGAAACAGTCAGTGGATAAGCCAGCAGCTGAGCAGAGGCTTAGTGTTAGGTTTCTTAACATTCTCAGGTTGCCCCTGTCAAAGGTATCAAACAATTAGGATTAAACAAGATCCTCTATGACAGAGGAAATCTGCATCCCAGAAGCTCTGAAAGCCAGAGAGGACCATGTAACTGCCCTTCATAGGAATGAAGTTCAAGACCTGCAATTTCAAAAAGGTCTAGGTACATTCTGAAATCCAACTCTATGCTGTTGGTAGAGAACAGGCAGTTAGGGACATAAATGCTGGGGATAAATCACCTGTTCAGGCGCCTGGCTGAAAAAGCAGTGCTGTTTTCCTTGCCTCCAGAAACTTCATTACAACTGCTGCCTGCTTGAAGTAGTTTTAGTGTGTCAGGAGGCAACTGCTCTGCAAGTCTTCAAGGAGCAGCTCTCAGAGAGTTATAGCTTGAATTCCTCACTATGTCTTTGTTCCCTGGTGACATTCAAGAAAAGGCTTTGTGGTTACTGCTGCTGTGAACAAAAAATTTTTCACATTTGAAAAACTGTTAGAGAAGAAATTTGTCAGCAGTACAACTATGAAAAGATGAAATTCTACCTCTGGAGAAACAGACAAGTTGAAGGCTGTGGTTCTGCCACCTCTCACAGTGCCTGTGAGTCTCTTTCTGGGTAGCTGAATTTGCAAAATATAATTGGGATTCAGAGGAGAGTTAGGGGACTTAGCAGAATTATTGAACACAGGATAGGTGATTTAGTAGTTTAAAAAGTTATTTCAGGCTGACCTAGGCAGTCAGTATGGCTTTTTTGGTACAGTAAGTCTAAGTTCCTTGAGAAAATTCTTCTCAGTCATGGGGAAGTCTGAAAAAATGTGACATGGGCAGTGTAAAAATAATACTGTAAGAGCAATATTCATACACATTTTGTTATTTTAACTATGTATTTCTCAAATGTTAAATTGCATAAAATAATTTTGGAGAAGCAGAAGACATGCAGTAAGTATCACATGTCAGAAAAATCCAGGCAGGATTTGACTAGAAAGCAAGCCTTGCACCTGCAATAGCTTCTTGGAATCTCAGTCTGTTTAGGATGCAGATCATTGTCTATCTTCAGCACAAATACAGCTGAAGCTAACAAATAATTATATTGATGTCATTATGCTCTGTCCCTCCTTTCATCTGCTGGCTTGTACCCTTGCATAACAGGCCATTTTCTACAGCCTAAAATGCCTGGCATTTCTACAGAGGCTCCTGCTGGAGGATGGCAAATAGACAAAGATTATTTTGGCAAGATCATTTTCCTTGGGCTCTTGGCTCAGTCAGTGGAGAGTGGCTCCTCTTGGGAGAGATCCTAACCAGGCACCTCCAAGCTGCTCTTCCTGGTCCCCAGAGGAGACTTTAGCTGGGATCCCTCCATTGCAGAAACATTAACACAGAGAGGTAGCAGCGCGAGTCTCTGTGATTTCCAAGGCTGACAGCCATTCACCAGCACTAGAAGTGCCTTAGTAAGCTGTGTGAGCCCTCGGCAGAACCTCTAACACATCTTCTCTCCCATCTGCTTCTTGCAGACAGTGCTATTCTGGACGTGTGAAAAATACCCCCGCACCAAGGATTGGCGCTGCTTCCCTGAAGCCTTTCTGAGGCTGGTACAGAAGCTGCACAAGTGTGTAAGCCAGCACTTCCTCAAGCATTACTTTCTCAAGAACACCAATCTGCTCAAATATGCCAACACCAGTGACCTGGACCTGGTGGCCAGCAAGCTCGCGGTCTTCTTGGAGAATCCCGTTTTCTGCCTGGACTAAGGCAGGCAAAGGTCTCGTCCCAGCCCCGAGTCGATCCCCCAGCTCCTCTCCCCACCTGTGGTTGCTCTCCGTGTCCTTCCAGTTGATGCTGCAGCTGGCTCTGTGAGACAGTTGGCACATGCAGCGCGAAAGAGAAGTGTTGAGCTGGCAGCGGTGGGCGGTGAAAACTGATGGGAGGTATCACTTGATGCCCAGCTGATCTAATTTGCTTTCAACAGTGACAGCCTGCCTGGAAGGTACAGCCAGTGAAACCCAGCTTTCTGTGTCAGAGCAGGCAACTGCCTCGTTCTGTCTCCAGTCCTGTGGCACCTAAGCTGAAAGGCAGCACAAAGGAGTCTCGCTCTGCTGCCCCTGTAACCTAGCTCATGCACTGTTGCTGCAATTGCCTTCCTCACAAGGACAGTGGGTTTAATTGCCTAATTACCTCACAGGCCAGCTCTACAGAGGGGCAGAGGAACATTTCCGAGGTGTTCTGAAGCTGGAAGCTTTCTCAGAGGAAATTCAATTCAGTGAGGTCCTGCTCCAGTAGGATCCAGTAATAATTTAACCATGCTGCTAGTGTTGAAGAGCTCAGTGGAAGCAAGAAGAGGAACAGTGGGTTTTGCCTCTTCATTTTTCTCTCCTTCACTTACATTTTTCTTTCAATTGCTTCAAATATGTCTTTTTCCTGTTTGCCAGCTGTGTTAGTGCCATACAGTCAGGGGGCTTTGGCAGGGCAGATTTCACTCCCATCCCTGGCTCTATCCAGCAGGCTGGACAAGGAGCATGTCTTTTCCTAGTTGTTAGCACCCACGTATTTTTGGGTGCAGTGTAGAATATTTTTCAGAGGCTCTTAGCTCCAAGACGCCCAGCGCTTTTAATTCTGTGGATGTTTCAAAAGAAAATGAATTTTAGTATTTCAAAAGAACAAAGCTTTAGAATTAATATAAAGAATGCTGGGTTTAACGTTATTAAATTGCTGAAACTTAACCAAGATGGGGGAGAGGGGGTTAGGTTTGATTTGGTGGGTTTTTTTGTCACATCTGTGCAGGAAAGTAAATAAGTCCTTTGCCAAGGGGGCTGGCAGAGGTGGGATTTGCATCGCGCCCCAAGGAGCTGCAAGAGGCGCATTTGCAGCGCGGCGTCTCCCCGTCGTGGCAGACTGCGGTACCACCAGTCTCCAGCACAGCCTCTGGAGCAGGCTGTCTTCTACAGGTTATGAGCAGAGAAGATATGGGTCAGGAAGGATCCAAGCTGTGTACTCCTGGTCTGGTCATGGTCCTGTGTCTCCTGCATCAGATGTCACCACATATAGACGTGATCCGACCATGTAAACTGGCCCCTCTTTACTCAGATCCTCGGAATACTCTCCAAGTCACCTTTCCACATGGGTAACTGTCTCGTGTGGAACTGTTTTGAGCAGTTAACTTTTCTTGCTAAACCTTTGTTCTCCGGGCTCCCTAAATGGGACACAAGTGTCGGTGTCATGATGACACCTCCTGTTCAAGTGTGGCTTTCTGATTTCCTGTGAGCTGTTTCAGTAAAGTGCAAGGAGATGCCAGGCAGAGTCAGGCAGCTGTGGCAATGAAGTAATGTCTCCTGTTTCGTCTTGATTTTGTCTTGTGGTTGAATGGCTGGCTTCTGAAGTTAGAGGAGGGCAAAAACAGTTCAAACTGTTCAAGGACAGTGAAAAACATTCAGTGCAATTAATCCCAAATTTGATATTTTACTGCCCTGATGTATGATCCTTTTGGGATTTAGTTGTGGCTGTTAAAGAATTTATCTCCCTTTATAGCTGGGTGAAAGAACAGCATTTGGTGGTGATGCCTTAACTTGGATGCAGCTGTGTGTCAGAGTCCTCAGCTGCTGGGATTCACAGCCTGCTGTGAAGCAAAACCATGGGCATGCACCGTGTGCTGCACAGCCGTGACATGGAATGTTCCACTGCCCTGCCAGAGCCTCTTACAGCCAGGAACGACTCAGCAAAGCCAGGAAATAAGCACAGAATGATGGACCCCTGCCTTGAGCCAAGTCTGATCAATTTTTGCTCTGTTTTCTTCTTGTTCACTCAAGCAAATGCATCAGCTAGCACATGCTGCTGCAGAAAGTATCCTTGTCACCACTGGAACATGGAAGGTACATTCCTGTTGACCACAAAGACGCAGGAACAATCCCACAGCTTTTTCTCCAGAGCAGCAAGATGTGACACAGCTGGCCACTGGCAAAGAGAAAAGGCTTTGAGGAAAGGATTAACATGGTCCTGGAAGCAGTTGAATGCAAGAATGAATTCCTTTCAGAGACATCTTTGAGACACTACCTTACATCATCTCATTCAGGTCTACATGAGTGTGTGGAGTTTTGTTGTTGAGGCAGTTTTTTGTGGTTGTGGGAGAGTTGTGCAGGAGGTCTCTTATTAAAAAAATAACAAGCTTGCCAAATATATTTATTTCATTTCTTACCACAGTAAACTTTTTGCAGATAGCTTTTCACTTATACACCAATCCTAGTTGCAAAATCATCCCGTGATTTGCCTCCAAGAAGTGATACCACATTGTACTTTGGCTACAGAATAAGTTTTATGCTTCATATTTATAATTTTTCTTTTTTAAAAGTGAGCATCTGGATGAATACACACATTCAAACCACACATAAACAGGTTTAATCAAAAGTTCTGTGTTCAGAACATCTGGAAGAAATGTGATGACCATTTTCTCTCCCTCTCTTTTTCATTGCTTTCATGAGTATTTGCTGCATTCTGAGCCCTCACCACAATCAGCATCACTCCATCTGTCAGAGATTTCAATTGAATGTGTTGTTCTGCCATATAAAACAGTACAAAAGTCATTATGTTTTTAGTCTTTTTTACACAGCCTGCCTTCTGGTCACTAGAGGGCAATGTCTCTCTGAAGCACAAACACTGATCCAGGATCTCGCTCTTAAAATCAGTATTTTGTTATTATCATTGAGCTGAGACAAATGAGCTCGATTAATTTAATGTTAAATTCTGTTGCCAAAAAAGGAGAGAAGAGACCATGGGAGAAGTTTCTAATAAATAGCAAGACTTCAGTAAAAAGGCTTTAAACTCTGGAAGCCACTCTAAGAGCCAGAATATGGATTTATTGTTTCTGATGGTCTTGCAGTCATTCCCAACAGCCTTCGATTGGGAAAGCACCAACAAGCAAAGTGCAGGCAGGGTTCTGGGAAGGAGGGAACTTGCAGGAGTAGCCACTGCCCTGCTCCATTAGAGTGCTGCCCTCTCTCCGTGGCCATGACTCCCATGTGTGCCTACCTCTCAGGCTCCTCTGTCTCTTTCTTTTTTAGTCCCTTCTCCAGAAAAAAAATAAAAAAATTATTCTCAGAACAAGTTTTCTGATGCCACCCCTTTGGCTCTGGTGGGAATGGTCACTTTTCAGTGCTCATCAACTCTCTTTTAGTTCATGGGCCCCAGGTGAACACAGAGACACATTACAGACCATCTACTCACCCTCACTTATATTCCATCTTTGGTTTGAAATGGTGCCCAGCAGTGAAGTTAGATCACATTGCAAACTGTATTCCCAGTGGGAGCAGCCTGGCCTGTCTGAGCAAAGTTGGGACATGGACAGTGATAGGCAGGATAATTCTGCTTTAACACTAAATATTTTTCTGCTTATCAAGGCTAGGACTCCTGGTTTTGAGGAGAAACATATTTTATTATACCCCACCCCCAACACTCATCTGAGGCACTTGCAATGTCACATGAGATAGTGACACAGCAGCCACTGCTCAAATCACGCTAAGAGATCCCACTCGCCCTATCAGGCCAACCTGTGACATTACTGTAGGAGGCGTGTGGTGCCCTTGTCCTCCTTGGGATCTGACTTCTCTGGCTGAAATAATACACACCATTTCAAAGGAAATTAAACAGCTGCAGGTAGAAAAATATGTTTTAGCCTGTTTTGACCCAAACCACTGCAGCACAAAGAAATGGACAACACTTTCATCATGTTACAAGTACCTGTCAGTTCTGCTCCAAGCAACATCTTTGAACTGAAAAGAAAGGACAGGATCAGCACCTGGCTTTGAAAGCATCTCCTGGATGGGTGATGAAGAATGCAGAGATGCCACCAGAGACCAAGCCTATGGAGAGTGCAGAATGTATTTTTCACAGGAAAGATTGTCTAATTTACCATTAGCATCTTCACAAATACAAATTACAAGGAAATGCATTAAGGAAAGAATTAATCAGCTTGAAAGGCTTTGTAGTAATTAGAAAAAAGAATGGTGTCTTCCCAGGTTCCCCTGGATGGTGGTAATTGCCAGCTGCACAACTGTGGCTTGTGCCACTTAATGATTTCTGGACTAAAAATCTTAATATCTTTTTATTTCCATTCTTAGAGAAGCCACTCTTGGAATCAGGCAGCAGCACAGGCCAGCAGCTCTGAGAAGCATGAACTGAGCTTGTTTCAGCCTGGGAGAGCAGCCACTTTAGGTGCAGGGTGATCTAGAGCCTGATCCCAAGCCATGGCTCTGTTGCATCTGGCCCAGCACATTTTTCCTGTTGCCTTGGAGGAGATGGGTACCATTTGTTATCCAGCAACTTGAACAGCCAAACCTCTTCTGCCACAACTGCAGGCAGCCTTACACCCATCCGCAGCACATCCCAGCAGCAGAGGGCAGGCCATAGCCCCTTCTGGTGACAGTATTGTCACCAACACAGCTAGGGGACCTGAAGGCCAAGGCTGCAATGGAGGCTAGCTAATGCATTCCAGGGAAGAAGTCTGGTTAATTTAGGAGAGTTTAAGAAATCCCTGTTCCAAGGCAGTAGTGAACCAAAGCAAAAATGCAGCTCAGAAGAAATTTTTTTAAATCCATGGTAAAAATTACTAAGGAAATGAACATCAATGTTGAATTCCTGGGATCCCATTTTAAAAGGGTGAGAACCTGTAGCTAGGAGGAAAGTCATCAGCAACTGAATCCATCTGTTGCTCTTTGTGGTCCTTTCCCCCAAATTAACCAAGAGCTGTTTCAAAGGTAGGTAGATAGTTTGCCCCTGGCTCCTGAGGCAGACAAATTATTTCAGACCCACACAGATCATTAGGAGCTTTCTTTGAACTTTCTTAGTTCTTAGAACACATCCTAGATGTGTTCACAGCCAGTGCAGTCTGGTTTGTACCAGTAGAGAGCAACCTGCCGCTCACCCTCCATGGGGTTTGCTGTCTGTGCAACCATCACAAGGGTAATCATAAGCTCCCTTGCCTTTAGCTGAGCATGACTAGATTTGCCAGACTCTGTGGTCTCTTCTTCTCTGATAAAACCTCTGTTCCAGTCTTGCTCTACACTAATTCATCTCTGCACAGATAACCAGGCTGGTTTGCAACCTTCCAGATGGAGTCTCATCAGTATCTCCTGTCACATGGATAATATTAATCCATGCAGTGTATCCCCTGTGCTGAAGAGGAAAGAACACACAGAGGTCAAGTTCCCTTAAAAAACAACTGCAACTTCAAAGGAAGAGCGACTATCATCAGTGATTTCCTTGGCAAACCAGGTGAGGCTGGTTGAAAGGCTTGCCCTGGTCTGATTGTCTTGGAAGTGAACCATATTCCCGAGGCCATGGGCCAACAACTTCATCATCTCCGTAAGACCTGAGCTCAGGCCAGAAACAATGAGTCTGCTCCAGCCTGTTCCTCTCTGCCTTCCCTAGGCAACAACCAGCTCTGGCTTGTAATTCTTCCACACTTCTTCCCCTTGAGTTGGTGGTAGACACCATTCCTCCTTGCAACACATATCCAGCTTTTGCCACTAAGCTGAAGAGTTTGGCTGTTTTTTAGCTGTGTCATTAAAATGCCATAGACTGGAGAGGCAACAGATCAGTGACCAGAGCTAATAGCAGCAAAAAGGATTAAATGAACAATGGATCTTGAGCATAATTTATGAATGCCATTAGCCACTGAGAGGGAATTATGTTTTGGCTGCAGTTCTGAGGGGGAAGGGTGGGTCTTATCTAGGCAGGAAGAAAAAAAGTGCCTGATTGCATTTGGATTAACAAACAGCTACATTGATTTGCCATGTGATACATCTTGGGCTTTTATGTTTACATCAGATGTAATAGCGTCTGACCAAAGACAAACTGTATTTTCTTTATCTTGTATTCAGACCCTCATGGCCAGACAATGTTGTGATCACATCTCACAGCTGCCTGTCATGGAGCATCTGCCACACTGCCTGGTAGAGCACAGTTCTCCATCAAAACACTTGCAGAAAGACAGGTCTTCTCTTAGAGAAGAGACACGAGTTGCATGAGTGTTTCCTTGTAGCCCATGCCCCACATCCTGGGGATGGGACTGAGCAAGCAATGCCTTTGTTTGCAGTGTCTCTTCTGCCTTTCATTTGATAACCAACACAGTATCTCATTAAACCGCTTAGCGTGGCAGCTGGGGCCATTTGTTAGAGTGTGATATGAAGGATCATAATCAGATTAAACCTCGGGATCATATTGTGGAGACAAAGATTAGACTGGAGAATAAAGAGAAAGTTTAATTTTGTGTGACAGTGCAGAGTTACCTCTGCTTGGGGTGGTAAGGAGGGTTAAAAGTGATTGTGGAGGCTCGAGCCTGAGGAGATTTGTGTGATGTCTCCCTGCTCAGTTTTGAGCAGAAGGGTTTTAGCACCCACTTTGAAATAGGGAGCAGTGCTGCAGCCACCAGCCCCTCACTGCTTTTCTTTCCCAAGAGAGGGCCTGAAGAGGGGGCTTGCATGGGAAAGGAAAGCTCAGCAGGTGTAAATGATGCCAGAAGCCAAAGCTGCATGTGCACTGAAGCTGGTATTTCTGGGAGGGGGTTGCCTTTTCGGAAATAGTCACTCAGTTATCATTATCTCTGTGCTGGAGGCCCAGGTCCTTGACTTGAACTGCTGTTCCCTGGGTCCTTCCTGTTCCAGTGCATTTAGCACAGCATCCTATGAGTCCTTCAGTAATCTGGGGACAGGAGGCACCCTCCAAAAGTCAGCAGGAGCCCTACAGTGAGAATATACATCTAGGAGGTCTTGTGATCCCACCTGAGCTGGTTTGGCTAGTATTGGAAGTAGCAGTGAGAGAAAAGTTGGCAGGTTGGGAAAGGCAGCATACAGATGGATTTCTGACATCTGCACCACCAGAGAGAAATGACCACAGGTCAGAGCAGCTCAGTCTCTGTTGTGAGCCCATTTAACAGACAAGTCTAAGGGAAAGATCCCAGCTACCACCAGCTTTAGAATCAAACTCAGACCTCTGCAGCTCTCTCCATGGCCTTTATCTACTCACATGAACACATGCACATCCCATCATGAACCGTGAAAACAGTGGGAACATATAAATACACTCATTTTCAAAGATGGTGGCTAGGCCTAGTCCTATCCCAAAGGAAGTAAACAGGTGTCAAAAAAGAGAAGATAAAAATGTGTGTATAAATTTTTTACAACTGTACCTAAGACCATTATAAGTTTTGTTCCCATACTCCCTCTGTTACTTGTTCTGGAGATATACTTAATGAATAATATATTCTCTCACTGGCTTGATCTTTTGCTCAGATATTGTAACCTCTTCCTTCTCTTTTGTCTGCTCTCTATTCCCTGGAGACTAAGTACTTTAGGGCAGGAGCCTGGCATGCAAAGATCTTCAGTTTCTTTGTGCTTCCTGAAACTAAACACAATGCAAACCCATAGCAAAACCTCAGAGTAACAAAGGAGATGCTGATCTGAACAGCTGGAAAGACAACAGAGCCTTTCCAGCCACCCAAGATAACTCCTGGGGTGATAAGGAGGTACCTGGGGAGGAGCAGATGGATGAGTGCTCCTTGCAGTGCCATAGCCATGCAGATCGCTAA